TGCCTGCCTGTGTTTGTTTCTATGTATTAGGTAGAGTTGCTATGACTCCGTGGCTTGGTAGCATGACCTAATGTAGTAGGTGTCCTGTAGGGTCCAGTGGCACAGCCTCCCTGTCACCCAATCTGGGTACTCGAAGTGAGCCCTTCATACGGGCTAAGTACACCCTCCTCTTGTAGTTGGGCCTTGGTTGCTGTTGACAGATCAACGGGAGGACTTGCCCAGGCAAGTCTTGTCCAGTCAGCTGCAAGGATTGGCTGTGATCACTGACCACCAGTCTCCACCCTCCGTGGAGGATCAGCTGTGCAGGGGCAGGTGGTGGTGCTCTGACGTGGTCTGTAGCTGTCCACTGGGTGTGCAGGCTCTGGGGTTTCCTGGGTGGTGCGAGCCAAGGTCAGCCCCCACCTGTGTTTTGCCCAGGTCCACCCTGCCTGAGCTACACAGCCATCTGAGTTGGCTGCTACTTGTGCTGGGCTTGGAGATTCCCAGGCAAAGCCACCCTGTGAATCTAGGCTGGTTGCTGGTAGTGCCAGGCTGGGGCTACTTAGCAAGAGGTGGGGCGGACTAAGGGCTCACTGAGGCTGGCTGTTGCTTGTTTGAGAGGATTTAGGAAATTGTGAAGCATGATCCAAGACCAGCCATTCATATGGAAAAGTGCTAACAGCTTGTGTGGGCTGTATGTTGGGCAGGACGGAGTCTATGGGGAATCTCCAGGGCGGAGAAAACAGTGTTAGCCAGGTTGATGGAGTCTCAGATATGGCACCCGCCTGCCGGCTCTGTGGTTCTGCCTGCCTTTCTGTCTGGGGGAAAGTTGTCCCCCAGCTCTTGCCTTTATTCTAGACACTTCAGTTCCTCCCCGTATGCCACTGGTGCCTTTCATGCTGCTACCCCAGTGGTGGAGCTTACAGGGAGTGTGTCTGAGTAGGTCCCTGGTTCAGACTCCCCCCTGCAGCTGGGCGGGTCGGTCTGTTCCTCCGCCGGCAGGCAGCGCGCTGGGCGTGCGGGTACCTTCCCGCTTCCGACGGCGGCGAACGAAGCTGCTGTAGACACGTGCAGGCAGGTTTTGTGTGGCACAGAACTTCCACGTCCCATGTTAAGTTTATGTTCAGCTGTTTTAAGGAGCAGCCAGACTGTCCTCCGACGTGGTTGCACCCTTGGGCACGCCCACCAGCCAGGCACAGGAGTTCCTCCTCCTCCTCCGAGTCCTCAGCAGCCGTTCGTTCACACTCAGGGTCACCAATAGAGCTAGCTGCATGGCTAGCTTTTTGGAAGTTGCCTTCTCCTCTCTTGCTTCCTCCAGAACCACTTAACGAGGTTGTTTGCTTGGCCCTTCTCTTTTCCACTGCTGGCGCACCCCAAGTGTACGGTGAGCTGCAGTCACCCACATTTAGCAACCAAGAACTACAGGTTTAACGGCGGCTGGCGTGCCCCGCCCCCACTTGTTCTTGGTTCTCTTGTGGATTCGTCGCCTTTGGTGCATCTTCCCTTTCATTTCAGCGGGATTTGGAGGGAGAGAAGAGGCGGCAAATGTGTAAGTTCCGCCCACCAGCTTGAAGTGTGAGCGCGCTTCGCTTCTTTCATGATGGCACATCTGCTAGCCACGGCATGTGGCAGACAGTAGGTGCTCAAACAGTTGTTGGGGTTGTGACCGTATTGGAACTCAAACCAGCCTCACACGGTCCACGGGCAGACTGTTCCCAGTTCTCTGCTCACTGACACTTCCGCTGTTAGGGAGATACGGGGTCAGAGACAGAAGTGGGAGCCGACAGAGGGAGGTGAGGGAGGCAGGGGGACGGGTGGGGGGGTGAGGTGAGAGAGCTGGCAGAGAGAGGAGAGGGTGACCAAGGGGCATAACGAGAAGCCGACAGAGACAGGGTGGGACATGGCGGCGACGGGGATGGAGCTGCAGGTGGTGGGGGTGACGGGAGCACAGGTAAACACAGATGGTTTGTGGATGAGTTGTGTCCCCCTGACAGTCCAGTGGTGAGGTCCCCACCCCCAGCACCTTCAAATGTGACTATACAGAGATAGGGCCTGTGAAGAGGTCATCGAGGTCATGGGGGTGGGTCCTAACCCAGTGCGGCTGGTGTCCTTGTAAGAGAGGGCATTAGGACCCAGATGCAGAGGGAAGACCAGGTGAAGCCGGCCGGCCCTCTGCAAGGCCAGGAGAGAGCCCTCAGAAGAAACCAAGGCTGTCAACGCCTTGTTCGTGCACTCAGCCTCCAGGACTGTGAGGAGATGCGTTTCTGTTGCTGGAGCCACTCGGTTCACGGTCTTCGTTACATTAGCCCCAAAAACGGACACGGGTGTGGCGATAAGGGAGCTGGAGGTGACGGAGAAGAGGATGGAGTGGAGTGGGGGAGAGAGAGGACTCGAGACAGACCTTGCCTGTGCGACCAGAAATCTCGTGGGATTAGATCGTGGAGGTGTGACTGCTGTTCGAGGAGTTGTGCGTCGTGAAAGCTCTCGCTCCGCCCTGTCGGCCGGCACCCCGGAAGGTGACGCACCGGCTGCGTCCGAGAGGGGCTGTCCCCCACTGTCCCAGAGTCGTTCTCAGGGAGTCAGCCCCAAAGACCACAGGTTCGGGCACGCGTTAGGTATCCAATGACAGACAGCCTGGGCACCTGTGCAGATCACATCCCCATTCAACTCAGCACGACAGGCCACCCACTGAGCCCCTTTACAGAAGGCTGGTCTTTGTACGGATAGCTTCTTAGGGAGCTCCGGGCAGAGGCTGCTTCCGGCTCCTGCTTCTGCACATGGGAGCTGGCCAAGGACCAGGGGAAGGCGGGGGGATGGGTCACCCCACCCACACCCCAGGCTGCAGGGGAGACGATTAAACCTGTGGGCAAGGAGAACTTCACGTGGCTTCAAGCCCACCTTGGCCTCTTCCCTCTGTAATCCAGGGCCCGGGAGTCGTGGCAGCTTGGTGAGCAAGCACCAGTGGACTTGGTTCAGATTCTGGTTGTACTACTCACTGTTTGTGTGACCTGGACAAGTCACTTAGCCTCTCCAGGTCTCGGTTTATTCATCAGTGAAATGGGCATAATGATGCCATCTTCCTCATAGGATTGTTGTGAGGATGGAAGGAGATAATTGCAAGAACCACTGAGATCTGAGGATGCCACAGAATAAGTGTCCGATTGATGTTAGCTGGTGGAGATAAGACTGTGGTAGGGACAGGGAGCTGCGTACCAGGCCGGTGTGAGGTCCAAGGTGTGCCTCTGAAGGGGACATCTGAGATCTCTACCCATTGTTCTCTCTATGTTCTATGTCCTACCCTGCTCCCTTAGCTGCTCCCACCCATGCCACCTTCCGATTGCTACCAGCACCCACTTACGGGCACCAACAACTGCGGACACGCGTGCTCCTCAGAGGCCCCCTTAGACTCTCCCTCGGGGCCTTCCCAGCAGAGCACAGGATGCTCAGGGGCCAAGAGTCAGCCCCCGCTGGCGGCCCTGTGTTCGCCCCCGGAGCCCAGAGCACCACTAATGGACACAGGACCATGGAGAAGAGAGATAGGATAGGACACTCCCAGAAGACGGGTGCAGCAGAAGCTGTGATTTACCCAGGCCACAGAAGAGGGGTCTTTGTGCCAGATAACAGGGTAGAACTCTGCACTGTCCACCAATACTCACTCCATCTTCCACCCCCACCTCCATCCCCACCCCAAAAAACTTCCAGGATCCTGGCTTCTGCAAACCTGAGACAAGGACTGCCCTGACGCCACTCAGTGGCCACAGGTGGAATTGCGTCAGCAGAAGCTTGAAACACCCTGCTACCTCCCAGTGGCCGTGGGTAGGATCGTAATACTAAGGCAGGAAAACCCTCTGCTACCGCCTAGTGGCCAGCCTGGGGTTAGCACCTGTCGGGCCTGTGGCTGGGAGCAGAACCGCACCAGCTGGAAGGGGCCAGAAGTCAAGGAATGCGGGCTGCCTCTGGAAGCTGGAAGAGGCAAGGAGACAGATTCTCTCCCCTGGAGCCCCCGGAAGGAACATGGCCCAGCCAACACCTTGATTTTAGCCCCACGAGATCCATCAGAAGCCCACAGTAGAGAAGGGCTTATCTTAAAGGGATCTACCGGTGTGACTTGCCTAATGGAGTTAATCCCAGTAAGATCCACAGGGGACCCACAAGGAGAATTATATTGGCAAAAACGCTACCAGCGGTGACCAAAGGGGACAGAGGCACTACAACATGAAAAGAGACCTTGGGACCCCCAAACTAATTTCTGTACCCAGGTGACTGCATTCCTGTCTTCTAATCGTCAAAAGGCCTCTACAGCTGAATTGGTTATCTGAAAAATTGCTTGGGTAGGGAAGAGTTTTCGTCGATGCCCTGAGGAAGCCCAATGAAAAATCCCCTAGTGCAGCAGGGAAGCCTCCAGGGACAGAAGTTCCAGAATCTCCTCTCCCAATAGTGCTGATCACACACTCTCAAAGTGAGTTTCTGCCCCTGAAATTACCGAGGAGGTTGCCCCCTGCTGATAGATTGTGATAGATTGTATACTTGGAGAATTCCAGGCCACCAACCCATGGCAGCCTGTGTCACACTGAGGGAGCCCTCATTTCCTTTACGCTTCCCAAACGCTCAGTAGGACTCCAGAGGAGCCTGAAGGTGGCTGGGGTCGGGCCTCAGCTGAAGTTCCCGGAAAGAGAAGACCCTCGCCAACCGCTGCTGTGAAATCAGGGGCCCAGGACCAGTGCAGACTTGTGCCTGCGCTAAAACTACCACTCCCAGGATCCCTCGCTTCCCGTCGCCGAGGCTCCAGCCGTGGGATTCCGGCCGTCCTGAAGCGCGTGGGCGACGTGGCGCGATGGGAAGTCGACTCCGGGAGCGAGCACTGGCGGAAGCTATTTAGGAAGCGCGGTCCCGGAGGGTGTGCGGGTCACACACTGGCAGCGATGGAGGAAAAAGGCTTTGGCCAGAAAGAGAGCCCGGAGGTTTCTGGGGCTTGGAGTCTCGTTGGGCTGGGAGGCGTGTGCGCATGACCGAAAGTGACGCTATTTAGGCGCGTCCCCTGTGGCGCCGGAGCAGCACCTGGCGTGTGGCAGCTCCTAGGATCCCGGTTTCTCGGCTGGCGCCGGCACCCGGCACCGGGTGGCACCCGCCGGTAGCCGGCGGCGCCTTTTCACGCCGTGCTCTGGTCGAGACCAAGTTGTCGGCTGCGCCTCGGACTCCCTGGCCGCGACCTGGCTGTGCCTGGGAGACTGCGAGCGACCCGGCCGGACAGGCCCCACCGGAGCTGCCAGCACCGCGGGCTCAGACCCGGCCTCTGCGGGGAGAGGCCGCGGAGAAGAAGAGTCCGCTGGCAGAGCAGGCCTGCAGAGCGGGGCTGGGCTGCCGTGAAGCGACGCTGGCGCCCGGGGAACTGCTGGGAGGCGGGGTCCCGTGCTGAGACCACGGGGCTGGAGGAAGGTGAGGAGCGGTGGCGGGAACGGTTTGCAGGAGGTCGGGCTTCTGGTTCCAGCCTGCCCGCTGTTACTGTTCTGCGGCCCGGACCAGAATCCTGTGGCTATCCTTTCCACTTGGGGGTCGGTCTCCTTTGAATTAAAAATCCGCGGGTCAAAAAAGGTTGAGGACCCCAGGCCTGGATAATCTCTGAGTATCCAACCCCTTACCACGATTTGCATGATGGACCGTTAGAGAGAACGGGGCCTGGGAAGGAACACGGGACGTGCTCGGGCTCTCCTCTCTTGCTTCTGACCTCCCAGCGCTGGAAGCAGCCAGGGCCGCCCGGAGCTGGAGCCCATTGGCTCCACCTGGGGTGAGGGCGGGTTCCCCCCAGCTGGACTGCGAAGTCGTGGAGAGTCCTGGGGATTTGGAGTCGGAAAGCAAGAGCCCTGTTTAAGCTGCAGGGTACCTGCTAGGCCTCTTAACATGTGTTTCTTCAAGGAGGAAAGGGTAAAATAACATTAAGTACCTCGTTTACCTCTAAGAACCGTAAGCATCCAATAAAGTAGCGTTTTTTGAGAGCACTTTTAACGCCTTGCAAAACAGAACAAAGGTGCATTTAATCTTAACCACCGAGGCCGGCGCCACCCTCCCCTAGATCAGGGAGTCCCTGTACGAGTCAGCAGCTCCAGTTTGACGCCCAGCGCTTTTCGTTGCCTCCCGCGGGGGGCGGGCAGGGGGTTGTCATGCTCTCCAAAGAGGGAAAGACGCCGCGGGGAGTTAGGTGCAACTCAGTAACATTGGGTCTGTGCTAAGACTTTGTACTTCTTTTTCTGAGGACTATCCGACCTCTACTCTTTTTAATTGAGATATAATTCATATACTGTAATACTCACCTTTAAAGTATACAATTCAGTGGCGTTTAGTACATTCGCACAGTTGTACAACCACCAGCACTGTTGAATTCCAGAACATTTTCATCACTCCAGGAAGAAACCCCCTCCATTAACCATGCCCTCTCCCCCCAGTCCCTGGCAACCACTGATCCACTTTTTGTCCCTCTGTCTTGCCCATCCTGGACGTTTCATAAAAACGGAATCATACGATGTACATGCCTGACTTCTTCCACTTAGTGTAATGTTGCAACATGAATGAATGCTGCCCCATTTCTTTTTATGGCTGAACAATGTTCCATTACATGGACATACCACATTTTACCTGTTCCGGGGTTGGTGGACACTGGGTGGTTTCCAGTTTGGGCTGTCATGAACAATGCCATGATGTGCGTGCACGCACCAGTTTTCGTGCGGAGAGGAGCTGCCGTGTTGTGTGGGGACTGTTTCCCTGCCTGAAGAGCTCTGCGCGGCGGCTGCACCGCTTCACACTCCCAGGAGCAACGGCTGAGTGTTCCCCTTCCCCTCCCTCCTCGTCAGCCCTGCCCTCCACCCTGTCTGTGTCAGCCGGCTGCGGTTTCACGTGCACTTGTCCAGTGATTAATGACACCGAGTGTCGTTTCACGCACTTTTTGGCTATTTGTGTATCTTGCTTGGAGAAATACTTGTTCAAACAAACCTTCTGCCCATTTTGAAATTGGGTTATTTGTCTTTTTACTGTTGAGTTGTGAAAATTCCTTATCTATTCTGGGTATTGGACCCTTGGAAGATTTGTGACCCTCAGATATTCCCCCCCATTCTGTGATCACCTTTTCCCTTCACAGTGTCCCTGGAAGCACGCAGCCTTCAGTTTCGCTGGAGTACTGTTTCGTTTTGCTCTTGTCGTCTGTGCTCTTGGTGCCATATCTGGGAAACTTGTCTGTTGGAGGTCATAACAGTTTACCCCATGTTTTCTTCTAGGAGTTTCAGCTTTTGCTCTGTAGGTCTTTGGTCTGATTTGAGCTGGTTTTTCTTAGTGTACGAGGTAGGAGTCTAACTTCATTCTTTCTTTTGTGGAAGTCTAATTGTCCCAACACCATTTTTTGAAAAGGCTGTTCTTTCACCATTTACTTTCTCGGTACTCTTGTTGAAAATCAGTTGTTCACAAACGTGTTTTATTTCTGGACTCTTGGTTCCTTCCCACTGATCTGTAGGACTATCCTTATACGGGTACCGCACTATTTTAATTAGTGTTTTGTAGAAACAAACACTAATTAATACTGTGATACTGTGAATGAGTCCTTCAATTTGGTTCTTCTTATTCCAGGTTGTTTGACTGTTTCTGGGTCTCTTGCATTTCCATAGGAATTCTGGGGCCAGTCTATCAGTTCCCATGAAAAAACCAGCCGGGACTGTGGCGGGAACCGCACGGACCCACGCTGTTCGGCAGCTTTAGTGTGTGTGTCGTGCACTCCCTGTGTTCATTCCTAGGTGTCTCCTCCTTCTAGTGCGCTGGTAAATAGAATTGCTTTAAATTCCATTTTTTGGGGGGGCTCTTTGCTGATAACTAGCAGCACACCCGGAGAAATGTCCGTTCAGCCCTTCTGCGCCTGTTTCAGCGGGCCGTCTCTTCGCTTCGTGTTCACCGTGCGTCCTGCGACCTCGACGACCTCGTTTATCTGTGAGCGTTTGTGGGCTCGTTAGGACTGTCAGTACCGTGAAATCATGAATACAGGTTCAGTTCTTCTTTTCCAATCTGGGTGCCTTCTTTTTCCCCCTTGCCTTGCCTGGTTGTCCTGCTAGAACTCCCATAAACTACTGGAGAGCAGCACGAGAGCAGACCTCGGTCTCGTTTCTGACCTTCCTCGGACTGTCCGCCTCACTGTGAAGGGCGGCGTTAGCGCCGGGCACTCTGCAGACGCCTTTCCTCAAGTGCGGGAGCTCCCTTCTGCTCCCCGCTTACCGAGTGTGTCTTATGGGGAAAAGCGTCATGTTTCATAAAACTGCCTTTTTGCTGTTTACTGAGATGATCGCGTTTCCCCCCCTTTGTATTAATATGGTGTTTTACACGGATTGATTTTTTTAGTGTTGAACCAGCCTGTGTTCCCGGGATGGATCCCACTTGGTCATTGTACCCCTTCTTTTGATTAGGCAAATGTCTGACATTTGCAGAGCCACTTTCTCCAAAGAACTAATAGGTAATATTGGTAAATTACATACGTACTTGCTAGGCATTGTGCCAGCTGCTTTATCTGCACTTTCCTCTAACCTGCAAAGCAATGACCTCACAAGGGATTATCATCCCCATTTTACAGATGAGAACAATGAGACCTAGAGCGGTTCCGTGATTCGCACGCTGCTGGTAAGTGCTGGATCTGGGGTCCCTGAGAGCCTACTGTCCTCTGGCGCCTCCTGTGTCTGGCTGCACTGGCGGGAGTTCCCAGGTAGGAAGGAGAGAATGGGGACATTCTCAGCCCTCTTCCAGTCTGCAGGCTCAGCCCGTGCCCTGAAACTTTCAGTGCCCTCTAAACCCCCTCCTCAGAGTGAGAATGTGCGACCTTCTAGCTCGGAGAGCTGCAGACTCGTGCGCCTCACTGATCTCTTTCTCACCCTCCAGAAGCACCTTCCCCGGGCCCTACCACCACTTCCCAAGGGGAAGGCACAGGTCAGGAAGGAATGGTGGCTGCTGTCCTCCGAGCTGGGCCACGGGTAAGTTGGAAATGCACTCCGAGAGGCAGCCTCTTTCATTATATTAATATCAAAGGGCTTTTTTTGTTGTTATTGCTGTGAATTAGAAAAGGAATTCATGTTCATTGTAGAACACCTGAAGAATATAGAGGACACACACAATGGTGATACTGAGGGGAGAATAGACAGGCACTAGATTCTCGGGGAGCTGCAGCAAAGGGACAGACAACGCCCAGGTTTCTGGGTGGCAGAGTGGGTGAAGGGAGGTACTCCCGGGCTGCAAGTAGACGCAGACTTGCTTGCCTCAGTGCCTTTGCTCACGGTACGCCCCCCACCTTGGACCTTGGCTAGTACCCTTCTCGTGCCTCTTCTGAGCCATCTTCTCCTGCACGGCCAGCTCAGTGACTGCCTCTCTGTGGTCTTCCCTGATCGTCCTTCCCCAGCCCCCCACGCAGGATTCCTCTGCTGTTACCCCCTAGGCTGGTCTGTCGTCTCTGACACACCACCACAGGCGGTTGCGTGTGTGCCTGGCGCTCCTGCTGTCCGTGTGCTGTGGGCGTTCACGGGGATGTTTAGCAAATGCTCTGAACACACGTTCAGCTGTTCCGTTTGTTGGCTAGTTTGCACCTGATTCCTCATCGCAGAAACACACATTCTAATGTTTTTTTCCTACATCAGCTCTTACTTCCCAAGCATCTGTCATATTCTGTTCGTGTGTGCACACATTTTGTCTATTCATGTGTAAAGTCTGTCATACCAGAGTTATAAACGTGAAGGCGAGACTGCATTTTGTTTATTTCTGTGACACTATTGAGTAGTGTCAGCCACACAGGAAGTACTTTTCTGGGGCTACCCCGAGTCCTTTCGAAGACTCCTCTGGGCCTGTGTGCCCCCCACCCGGAGCCAGCAGCCCCCCACCTCCGACTCCCCCACCACTTTTCTTAGTGTTACTGGGCGAGAGGAAATGTGCTTGTCGTTTCAGAGATCCGCACCCTTCGGCGATGTGACGGTAGCTTTCACCCACAAAGAGCGGGGGTGCGCGGTCCCTGCTCCAGGGCCCGGGTTCCAGGAGGAGACACCAGAACAGTCCAGGAACTTGGTCCTGCTGGGTAAGGAAGCCATTTAAGACAGAATCCGCTCACTTCTGAAGACACGTTGCGTGATCCCGAACTGCTGACACCCTGGAGGGACAGCGTCCATTCCTCCTTGTTCCCTATTTGAAAATGTCTCTGTATTTTTGGTGGGAAACAGGCATCATTTCCCTCCCCCTGGAGGCTGCATCTCATCATTGTCTCCCCCCCCCCCCGTTCCAGGCTAGTTCCCACCAGTTACTGGTTTCCCATCTTTCTAAGCAGCCTGCTTTATGAGCCTGGCTCGACCCCTTGGCTTGACCCCCTCCTCGAGGCTGTTTTTCTCCCTTAGATGACACAGAGGGGATGGTCTCAGGCCTTCTCGGCTGCTGCCTTCCTCGTGGCCGCAAGGACAGTGCTCAGCTGCCCTCTTCCCCGCGGCACGGGTGTGCGTCCCCACCCTTTCCTTGATGACTTTCAGGGCCCTCTTGTCCTTGGAGACCCTGAGCAGCCCCGTGGCACACCGCTCCCGGGGGAAACCTACCTCTCGGTGTATGTCCTGCATGAACTTGGTGTGTTTGGTGAGGTGCCCGTGGTGGTGGCTGTGCCTGGGCTTGCTCACGTTCTCAGTCACCTTATGGCCCTTGTTGAGGCCACGGCCACAGGGCAGCAAAGAGCCACAGCTGCTGCAGCTGAGGCTGTTTCACTAGCTCCTCCCTGGACCGCTTTACCAAGGCACTGGCCCATGTCCGTCTCACTACTACTGTACTCCCTAGTGCCCGGCACTGTGTAGGTGCTCAGTGTGTATTTGCTGAATGAATGAAATTGTCCTGTGTCCCCTCCCATGAGTTCTGGGTGGCTCTTAGAACAAATCTCTAAAAGCCCGTTTTTCTGTCCTTGAGTAGGACTTCCAGCTTCCCAGCCTGGCATGAACTCCCAGTCAGAGCAAAGGGAAAGCCCGTGGGCGCTGCGGGGAGAAGGCCCGAGGAGGACCTGTCCGGGTGAGTGAGCAAGCACCAAGCCAGTCAGTCCTGCAAGCAGAAGCCCCTTTGAAACCCACATTAATGCGTTTGGTAAGGGGACAGTGACTGGGGGCAGAGGTGACACTGGGAATACAGGTGGGGGTGGGGCTATTTTAAATCATGTGGTGGAAAGACCACTTTGAGGAGGTGACATTGGAGCTGATACCTGAAGAGAATGAACCAGCCATGTAAATACTGGGTTGGCCAAAAAGTTCATTTAGTACTTTTCTGTAAAATAAGACACATTTTTCATTTTCACCAATAACTTTATTGATCTGATATTTATGTAGGATATTGGCTTCCAATGAGTAGAGGCCAAGGGTACTGGTAAACATCCTCTAATGTGTAAGATAACTCCACTGCAAAGATTTGAGCAAAAGGTCAATAGTACCAAGAAATTTCGCAAACCACTTTTAACATGTTCAAGTCGTCACAGCACCTTCTCCATGCACTGCACACATCTTTGTGTTTCAGTTGTTCTTACCTTCCTTGAAATAATATAAAGCATGATATGCCAGAAATGTTGTGTATCTTCTTCCATCTTCAGTATTAAAATGTCTGCACAAAAATTCACTAGTGTTGGTTTTTTTAAATGCACATTTATATGACAGCTGTCACAATGCAATGTAACACAATTGTTTCTAATGAAGTTAAAGACAACTAAGCACTGCTAGAGCCACCACAGGGGGGAGAAAACTATAAACTTTTTGGCCAACCTAATCTTTGGGGGAGATACCCCCTGAGCCACAGCACATACCGAGGGTTTGAGCTGGGGATGAGCTTGGCTTGTGTTGGGATCACAAGACCCCAGAACTCACTGAGCAAGAGGAACGGGAGCTGGCAAGGGCCAGATCAGGGAAAGCTTTGGAAGCCCATGGCAGGGGATTACATTTTCCTCAAGATAGGAAGTCATTGAGGGTTTTGAGCAGGGAAGGGCCAATATTTGATTTGTGTTTTAAAAGACAGATTTTCAGGGTTGAGGAGCGGAAGCTGGGAGATCAACTGAGAATCTGTGGCAGACAGAGTCCAGTGAGAGGCGGTGATGGGCGGTCAGGGGGATTCAGGATGTATCTGGGTATGAAAGCCAAAAGGACTCAGTAGTGAATCAGATGTAAGAGCAAAAGGCAGTAAGGATGGCCCTGGCCTGAGAGTCTGGCTGACTGGGAAACTGACAGAGACACTGGCTTAAAGGGAAAAGCAGCAGTTCTGTTTTGGGTGCGCTCAGTCTGGGGTGTCGTCAGCCTTACCCAGGGTGCAGCACTCAGGGGAAAGGTGGGCTCAGGTGTGACAATTTGTGGCCATCAGGTGAGCTTCAGAATTGGTCCTTTTCCTGTCACTCTTCCTCAAAGAGAGGCTCAAGTCTTAAGTAATCAAATGCAAAGACACCCTCAACCAGAAGCAGGCCTCCGGTGTGCACGTACACGCTGGAGGGGAACCTGCCTGACGTCAGGTTGTTTGAGACGGTTGCAAGGAAAACATCCACGATGATAGTGAGCACACACAGAACACGTTATCCCTCAGGCACCATTCTGGGATCGCTGTGGGCCTCAACTCTACACTAGCCCACACGGTGATTCTGCATGACAGCCACACCCACGATCGGTCCAAAGCACTGAAAATTAAGTAGTTGGACAAACAGGACAAAATCCCAAGAAAAAACTAAGCAGGAAGGAGACAAGCTACTACCAAATTAAGAGTTCAAAACACTGGTTGTAAGGACGGTCAAAGAAGCTGGGAGAATAGGTGAACACAGCAAAAATTTTAAGAGATAGAAAATATAATAAACCAACGAGGACCAAAGAGTAACAAATGAAAATACATTGGAGAGAACCAACAGCAGAGCAACTGATACAGAGAATGAGCTGGAAGACGAATTCGTGGAAATCACCCAATCACAACAGTAAAAATTAAATTATAAACGAGGTTTAGGGATCTCTGGGACAGTATCAACTGTACCAACATGCACGTAGTCACAGTGGTCCCAGAAGAGAAAGAGAAACCTATGTGCGTCCCCGTCCTGGTGAAGGAGACGAACATCGAGGCCAGGAGGCAGTCCCGGTGAGATGAAGCCGAAGAGGCCGACACCCGCACGTCGTAATTAAAATGCCCGAGTTGCAGAGAATTTGAAAAGCAGCAAGAAAAAAGCAGCTACTTCTACAAAGGAGCCCCTGAAAAACTACCAGCTGACTTTTCAGAAACTTTGCAGGCCAGAAGGGAATGGTGCAGTATACCTGAAATGATGAAAGGGGCGGGGCGGGGGGGGAGGTAGGGGAGAGCAAACGTATCCTACATAGCAAGTTTATCATCCAGAACTGAAGGCTGGTTTCCCAGACAAGCAAACACTACACCAGCTTAAGAAAGTGCACGGGTGATGTCAGCATTATGGCAGAGTACGAAGACTCCTTCGTATCTCCCCTTAAACTTACAAGTCATACATCTGTAGTCCAACAAAAGTTCCTCTTCTCAACACACAAACCTGCCTGAGATGTCCCTGCATGCATACATCTGAAGCAGGGACACTGGAATGCACAAGGGAGGCCGTCTGGGGTCCGTGTCTGCAGATGCAGTGCAGCGGCCCTACCTAACGCAGCAGGGTTGGTGAAGCGCCCCACCCCGCCCCTCCCCACACACACACTGGCCCAGCAGAAGCTAAGAAGGGCAGGAGCCACGTTGGTACCCATGAGTCTGGCTCCCTCACCCCACCCCCCGGCGGCAGCAGCGCCAGGTGCAGCAGCAGAGGGGTCTAACAGCACAGTGGTGCTGGTGGCCATTAGGACCAAAGAGGCAGCCCTGCAGGCCCGGGACCCCAGCTGCTTCCCCCACCTGCACCATGGTGGTTATGCCCCTGACTGAGGCCACCCAGGCACAGTGGGCACACCTGCCATGACCCCCAAAGCACAAGTAAGCAAAAACAATGAAAATTTGCACTATGCCTTACCTTCTAATGGCAAACAAAACACAGACCTCTGATGATCAACCTGTTGAATGAATCCTTAGGATCAAAACAGTATCTAAACAGAGTCCACAATCTCAGACATACAGGTGCAGGAACAATCCGTCAAGCACCATGAACAACCAAGGTAACATGGTAACTTCCAACTGTCTAGAAACCAGTCTGAAAGTGGAAGGTTGATTTTCAAGATTTCTGTCGTGAAACTCAATGATATAGAAGAAAGGCACTTGAGTAAAGTCAAGAATAAAATGAATGAAGCAAAGGAATACTTTACCAAAGAGATTGGAACTATAAGGAACCAAATTCTGCGGCTGAAGAACTACCCGTACATGATATGGGGAATACATTCAAAAAGCGCTGGCAATACAGCAGACCAGTGTTACAGTCGGTGGAACTGAGTTTTGAGAACTAACTCCAGTAGAAAGAGCTACAGAAGGGTAATGGACATCTCGGAAACGGGAACAGAAAGCTTCTTCAAAGAAATAATTGATAAGAACCTCACAAACCTAGCGAGAGAACTAGAACTAGTACAAAAGGCTACTAAAAGAGTATGAAAGTATCTCAATGCAAAATGACCTTCAAGATGCATTAAAACTGTCAAATGTTAGTGATAAAGAATTCTCAAGGCAGCCAGGGGAAAAAAGAACTGTAACCTACAAAGGAAAACTCATCACATTACCCTCAGAGTTCTGAGGAACCACACAGGCCAGGAGAGAGTAGAATAATGTATTTAAAATGTTGAAAGAAACCACTAGCCAAGAATATATCCAGCAGAAATTATCCATGATAGGTGAATGGGTGAAGATGTAGTACATGTACACAATGGAATCTTCAGCCATAAAAAATAGCATCTTGTCGTTTGCAAGGATATGAATGGACCTAGAAAGTATTGTTAAGTGAAAACAGAGGAAGACAAATACCAACTGATTTCACTTTTATATGTAATCTGAAAAACAAAACAAACTGAAACAAACTGGCAGCTACAAACTGACGGTTGCCGGAGGGGAGGGAGGCGGAGGCTGGGCCTACAGGGGGAAGGGGGATACGAAGTGAGAGAAGTGACTCACTATCAAGTGAGTCACTGGGGTGTAAGGACAGAACGGGGGATAGAGTCCTCAGGACTGCATGGTGACAGACAGTTACCAGACTTCGTGACAGTTACTTCGTAAGGCATGTAAGTGTTGGGTCACTGTGTTGTACACCTGAAACTAATATAATACTGTAGATCAGCTATAAAAATACATTTTAAGAAATCATTAAGAAAACACTCTACTAAAAATAACGCTGGTTCAGTTAAATTTAGAAAAGAATAGAAGATCAAGATCCCTATCATCCCACCACACAGGTAAACTCAAGTCTTCCAGGTCTTCATATCACAAAATGCAGTAAGTGTGGTCTTACATGCTCCTTCCTCACTTAGCAGTGTGTTTCCATCACTGCGTATTCTTTGAAGGGTTTCTATAGCTTGTATTACAAATTAATACTGTCACACATTAGAAAATACAGGTAAGTACTGAAGGAAACAGTCTTGTCCCTAACCCCACAACCTGAACAGTACAGCCTACACTCCTGTGTTATCTTTCCAGTGGATTTCCGTGAATTTCAAACATGAGTCTCAGTTGCTAAGAGAGACCCTTGGTTGGCTGTGCTGTGGTCATCCCCTCATTATTCAACATTTAGGTGTTTGCTTTTGACAACACGATGTTGCGCGTGAGGAGCGCCTGTCGCAGCTGTTATTTCTCAGTGGTGCCTTAGGGTAGAGGCTCACAAGTGGCCTTCTGAGGTCAACCTTTAATGACTCCACAAGTGCGACCATGTTGTTCTCCAGAAGGGCCCCCGTTCGCGCAGCTGCGCCCGTGTACGAGAGATCCTGCGGTGCTGCGCTCTCACCAATGCTAGAATTAAACCATTTTTTTAAATCTTTAAAAAGTGAAAAAATTCATGGTCATCAGCTTTTTAAAATGAGTTTTTCGAGCCTGATAAGCAGACTGCCCAAACCACACTGAGGATTGGGAGCTGAGACAGCGTGCGACAGCCCCGAGCGTGGGAAAGGAGCTGCGCGGCGGAGGCGGAGGCGGAGACCAGGGGAATCCACCCTCCGCAGCGCAGGGGAGGGGCGACCGTCTCTGATGAGTCCTCTCAGCCGTCACTCGGTTTAGAACTAATGTAAACCCTCCAGGTTCTGGGTGAGAGGAGGTGAAGCAGACCTGTCTGCGTAAGAGCTCAACCGAATCCCTCCAGTCTTGTGTGTTTTAGTAGCATCTTTTCTTCCACCAAAGGAATTTTTTTAAATCACTTACTTTTTTTTTTTTTAGACTGGAAGACGGTGTCTGAATCACTGCCAGAGCCAAATGTTTGTGACGAAGCATCCCAAGACACAAGGGCAGAGCTGCCCGCTGGGGAGCCCGACCTCAGGACCTGTGACCTGGGGAGGAGCCTCAGCCCGAGACCGGTCCTTTCCCCACAGCGGAGAGTTCCCACAGAAGGGAGGCCCCATAAACGTGCAGCACGCACGAAGAGCTTCGGGAAGAACCCAGACATAATCAGATCTCACGGAGTGAAACCCTACACGTGTGACGAGTGTGGCAAAGCCTTCAGTTACTGCTCCTCCCTCTCGCAGCACCAGAAGAGCCACACGGGGGAGAAGCCGTACGAGTGCAGCGCGTGCGGGAAGGCCTTCAGCCAGAGCTCCTCGCTCATCCAGCACCAGAGGATCCACACGGGGGAGAAGCCCTACAAGTGCGGCGAGTGCGGAAGAGCCTTCAGCCAGAACGCGAACCTCACCAAGCACCAGCGAACTCACACCGGCGAGAAGCCCTACACGTGCGCGGAGTGCGGGAAGGCCTTCAGCGACTGCTCGGCCCTCGTGCAGCACCAGAGGATCCACACCGGGGAGAAGCCCTACGAGTGCGGCGACTGCGGGAAGGCCTTCCGCCACAGCGCCAACCTCACCAACCACCAGCGGACCCACACGGGCGAGAAGCCCTACCAGTGCAGCGAGTGTGGCAAGGCCTTCAGTTACTGTGCCGCGTTCATCCAGCACCAGAGGATCCACACGGGCGAGAAGCCCTTCAAGTGCGGCGCGTGCGGGAAGGCCTTCAGCCAGAGCGCAAACCTCACCAACCACCAGAGGACTCACACCGGGGAGAAACCCTACCAGTGCAGCGAGTGCGGGAAGGCCTTCAGCCAAAGTACAAACCTTATAATCCACCAGAAGACTCACACTGGGGAGAAGCCCTATAAATGTAACGAATGCGGGAAATTCTTCAGTGAGAGCTCAGCCCTCATCCGACATCACATCATTCACACTGGAGAAAAACCGTACGAGTGCAGCGAGTGCGGCAAAGCCTTCAACCAGAGCTCGTCCCTCAGCCAGCACCAGAGGATTCACACGGGCGTGAAGCCCTACGAGTGCAGGGAGTGCGGGAAGGCCTTCAGATGTAGCTCCGCCTTCATCCGGCACCAGCGCCTCCATGCGGGAGAGTGACTGGGAGCAGGGCCAGCGTGGATGGGGACCAGCCGGGGTTGGAAGCCTCGGATTTTCCAAGTGTATCAGAGCCACATGCTTCTGTACCTCTAACAGAGTCACTATTTTATGTGGCAGGCCTCAGCTTTTCTCAGCATCTCCTGTTAGCTTAAACAACCCAAGTCAAACTCCTAGTTACCCCTGCTCAGTGGGCCAAAGTGCTCTTCATGTTAGCAAGCACCCCAGAACCCTGGGCTCTCCCCTTGAGGACTGCTGTTGCAGAAGAATGAATACTGGCCAGGAAGGAGCACTTCTCTGTCACGGGGTCAGGATCTGATCTGGGGAAGTAAATTCAAGTGACAAAGGGATCCCAGGGCCAACCACTAAGCATGAAAATTTCACTGGGGGTGGCGGGCCAGGGAAAACCTACACAGCTGTTTACATCTCTCCATAAGGCCCTCCCCTTTTCTGTGGAGACCCTTGCAGGGAGGGACAACTGAGGCCAGTCCTGTGCTGTGCCCAGGGGGGCCAGAGGCAGGCGGGTCATCTTCACCTCTTCCCCCTCACTGGGAACAGCCACTGCCTTTTCCACTTTGCTCCGACCAGGGTCCTACCCAGCTGGTAGGTTACGTCAGCATGTGCCTTCCCTGGTCTTTGGTGAGGTGAGGGGCTGGCTACAGGGCAGACTTCGCGTTACTGGTCACCTGCTGTAAGGGAAGCCCTCGGCCCTTATCCTCACCCGAGGCCCCAGGCTCTGACTCGTCAGGGGACCCGACACACGCAGCAGTTTGTCCTCCAGCCCCGACTGCACCTGGGGTGATCAACAGCCACCCACCAATGGGAGAGCGGAGAAACCACCAAGGGCAGGGAAATGAAGTTCTGGGGTCAGTCACTCCCAACTCCCTTTAGGGCACTGACAAGAAGCCCCTTCTCCCTCTGAGTGGTGCTTCAAGCCACTCAGGTAAGGCTTATTCCACTACCCGGGGCCCATCCCTTGCCTGTCTAATAAAAGGAAAGGGAGTGGTAAGCTCTCAAAGTGATTCAACAGGAACCCAAGGGAAACCGAGGAAGAGACTTGGGAGAAGGTGCAGACAGACATTAGCAGACTGTTACTGGTTTAAAGCAGACAGGTTCAGAGAATGGCAGGGCTAGCCTGCAGCTAACTTCAGAAGTGTACTTGACCCTCACTTCCACATAAACCCAGGACTGATCGAGGACTCACCATAAAGGTCAGGTTTCTTTGTTGTCCCATCATAAGCCCCAGCTGTGCACCATAAGGGATACTAAAGCCTTGAATTATGGGCCCTGGGCCCCAGCCCACCAAATAATTTGGCCTGGGATGAAGAACTCACTCCCCGTGGACTTGTGCTGAACTGTAAGTTTTCCTTCTGGCCGAGAACTAGTTATGAAAAGCTCCATAAACATCTCCACAAATAGTACTGAGACTTCCTTTCGAGACGGCTTCCCTGAGCTAGTCCCCAGAGGGCAGAAATCTGTCACCTACAAGGAGCTTATCGCCCAGACTGCAGCTCCCACAGGCTCGCCACTTCAGCCCCACTATCCACCACCTGACCCCAAAGGACCTACACCCCCCCCCACAGGGAAAAGGCCACAGCAAAGTCCATTGATTGTTAAGTGATCTTTAATTGAAATATTTTCCTTTGTAGTTCTTAACTCTGTGGGAAAGAGAAAAAGAAATCCTATCAGTGACAGGTCCAAAAAAAAAAAATCTGATTTCTCAACCCCACCACTGACCATTTCTAGACCTTTTCAGATTATCGCTATAACTACATTAGATCCCCCACCTTTCACCCCTGTCCTAAGCAAACAAAAGCGATGCACCAGTCACTTACAGCCGGGCACTCCACTGCGCCGCTGTTGATGTCATCTATGATGTCGTGAGGGTGGCGGCCATCCACATTGCAGCCCACGGACTGGGCCGTCCCCAGGATCTCTTTAATGGTTCCTAGGATCAAGCAAAGGGGCGTCAGACAGCGCTGTGGGCCCCACACAGTCCTCAGGATCCTGTCTGGACAGGACTCGAGTTTGACAGCAGGCGAGCAGGAACACCCCCCGACTCCCTAGTCCAGAATTCCGCGCTCCGCTGAGTTCCGTGAGCCCTCAGTGCAGTCTCCACGCCCAGGTTAGACACTCTGGTTCTTACAGAATGAAGTCTCCTTTCAAGAGGGGAAATGCCCCGTATCACAGGGAGGCGCCACATTGCCCTGCTCTTACCAGAGAGTTCTCTCGCCAGAGATCGGTGCCGCATCTGTCGGGCGATGCTGACGATCTCGTCGAAAGTGATATTTCCACTGTGCTTGACTACAGGAAAAACACACAGCAAAAGCTTTATCACAACCCAAGGCCAGATCAGACCCCGTGTCCTCCCCACGCCTTCTGCAAGGCTGTTCCCATGCTTTCGGCACAGAGTTACCCACGTGGAGAGCAACCCTGTTTCCTAAGCTGGGGTTTAGTATCAGCTCACCACTGGATTGCACCAGCCAACCGCAAACTGGTCTGGCGCAGTGGCGGGTGGCTAACGGCGACACCCAGTCTACACCACTCGCAAACCACTCAGGTTACCAGGGAAAAGGCCACTCACTGTTTTTTTGCTTCTTTCTGTCTCGTGGAGGTTCTTTGAGGGCTTTGATGATCAGGGCAGAGGCAGACGGCACTACCTCAATCTGCAGAAGAGAACCTCAATGTGAGTAAACGTTCCCCAACCCTCCAGTGTGGACAGCAGTGCCATGCCCTTGGTTCTTGGAGACCATGGCCCAGACACACTGGATGTGCGCTGCTTTCTCAATTTCCACAAACAAACATGCCCTAGCCTCAGAGACATTAAGTCATTTTCCCAAAGTCACACAAGTGACAAGAGTTAGTATTTGAGTACGCCTTTGACCTTGATCCATGCTCGGAAAAAGCCTTCCCCAAATACAACCGCCCTCACCGCTAGTGGCAGGTGGCGGTGCCAGCACAAACCCCCCACCCAGGAATCGCGGAGGGCTGCCCCCCCTGCCCCCCCTCAGCCCAAGTACCTGCGCCTGTCTGTTCTGAATGGTCAGCTTCACCGTGATCCTCAGACCCTTCCAGTCCCCGGTTGCTTTGGCGATGTCGTCACCAACCTTTTTTGGAGACTGCAGAAAGAAAGGTGTGTCATCAATCACATTGCACCCCAAGTGTAAACAGCCTGAACCCTGCCCCGTCTTCCTCACTTGGCAGGACCCCAATCTTCCTCGAGGAGTACACAACTGCACCCTCCCAATCAAGACACGATGAGGCCGGGGTGGGGGGGGGGGGTGTTGTTCAGGGCTGCAAACTGCAAGCCCAGGGCCGTGATGGGGCCAAGCCACTCCCCACCTTCCCTCTCTAAGGACCTCTGAGAGAACGCAGGAATCCACTTCCAACCAGGGTTACAGTCCAATCGCCTGGAGGTCTTTAGACCTATCAGGTTCCTGTGTCATCCAATCCAAGTCACCCTACCAGGTGCAAGCCAGAGCACGTGCTGCTTTAGGGTTTCCTAGTGACCACCAGGAAACAAATGTGCCCACAAGTGCCTGCCGGGCTCAGCGCCAAGAGGAGCACTGAGACACCGGGCAAGCAAAACGGGGAGAGCACACGGGAGAGGAGACCACTGTGCAAATAAAGGCCTAATGGTATTTAGGGAAACCCCAGCCCAGTAAAACGGAAAAGCAGCCACATAAGGCTACTCACAGAAACCAGCAGGTGTAGAGCAGGGCAGGCAACACAAGCTATTACAACCTTTCCCAGAAGTTTCACCCACGTCCCCTTTTATGCTTTTATCAGCAATATGCCTGCTCCCCTCACTAGAAAACACAAGCTAAGTGTCCCCAAGCCCCACGACTTCAAAACCCTCATTCATTCTGCTCCTTCCAGCCTATCCCACAGATACACAAAAACGGCGGCTGTTAGGAGACTGCGGGGATGATGTAAGCGCTTCAAGGTCCTGGGTCCGCCTTCCACATAGAACCTCTCCACCGGCCCTAGGGCCGACTCAGTGGACCAGGGGTCTAGCAGGGGGTGGAAATCCGCCATCGCCAATGGCACCCCAGGTGCAGTCGTGTTTGACGAGCCACAGCAGGAAAGAAACGCCCCTTCCCCGAAGATAACTCACCAAGCCCAGGGGGCCGATCTTGGGGGCCAGGGCGGACGTGGCACCGACCTCCCCGCCGGTGCACCGCAGGTAAACTGGGAGGAAAGAAACCGGTTGAATGCCGCTGCCGAGCTCCAGCCACAGCCCTCTCTGCGCATCGTTCCGGGGCTGGCCACAGCGCCAAGGGCCTCAGGGAGAAGCGAGGCGGGCCACCCCTTCCTTGGGCGTGCGCCGCTCCCAGCACCACGTGGGGCCAGCCACTTTCGGCTCGGCCACCGCTGCAGAGGCCCGGACGGCGCTGGCGTGGAGGCCACCAGACCCTGCCGGCCAGCCCAGTCTACGGGGGAAAGGGCCCGAGACAAACCTTACCCTAAAGCGTGCGGGCTGGAAAGCCGCCACAGGTCTTCCGGTCCTCCCTCCCCATTTACACGTGGGCAGGCTGAGGCCCAGAAAGAGTGAGCGACTCGGCCGGGCTGCGCAGCGCCCTGAACGCGGCACCGCAAAGGCCTCGACTAGGCGGCAGCTTTTAAGCGCGATGTGGGAAAAGGCAACAATCACGGAGGGGCCGCAGGCCCACGGGCTGCGCGGGGAAGGGATGCTCCATCCCGCAGCCCCGGCCGCACGTAAGACACGCACCGACTTTGATCTCATTGGGGTCGAACTTCGGCGGCATGGTGGAGGCAGCTGGTGTCGGATGAACCCGGATTCGGGACGACCGAAGAAAGTTGCACCTTCGCCTCCTCCGAGCCGAAAGCCGAAAGGCCGGAAGAGCCTTCAACTACGCCGGATATAGGCAGGAAAACACGTCTGTCGCGAGAACCGCTGTCCCCGCCCAGCCTCCCAGCGACGCCCCTGCCGCCATGTTGCTTGTGGGCAGATGCCGGAGGCTGACGAGCGGAGGAAACTGGCACCGCGGTGAGCTGTGACTAGGGGCTCGGGAGGGGTTTCAGGGCAGTTAGCCCAGAAGAGGCAGACAAGAGAGGGCTGCTTCCAAGATCTCGGCCCCCCGTTCCCCATTCTCCCTTATCGTGAGGGTCACCCCCTGGTCCCTGTCACCCAATCCCGGAGCCCCGCCCCTCCGCTGAGAGGTCCGCACACAGTACAAGACCTCGGGTCCACAGCGACCCCGGCCCCTCTTTTAACGCCCTCGTGATGCGAGCATTTTAGTTATCAAAACCCTGTCGTTCGGGTCCAAATCCGTTTTAAACTCTAATTCTAAGATTCTGCGGTCCTCAGAGTCTCAGACTTCGTCATCCTGGTCTGCATGACTTTCCGAGATCCTGAGTTGGGTCCCCAGCTCCTGCGCCTGGAGACCTGTCTCCCCGGATCCACCGGGGCTCGTTCCAGGTGGTCTGCGCCCCGGCGTCCCTGACCAAGCCCTGCGAGTGACCGGCCTGCCTTCGGGTGCACCCGCGGGAACGAACGTCGGGGACCTGCCCACCCCCAAAGCCAGGTCAGGCACCACCCCCACTCCAGCCAGGGGAGGATGGGTGTGGTTCTCCGCATCTAGACTGGACGTCCGGGAGGGGATGGCTGCGGGATGGACATCGGGGGCAGGTTGGGAAGAGCTGATCCGGGAGGGAAGAGGGAGGGATGGTCATTGGGAGGAAGAGGAGGCGGGGAGAGGGCGTCAGTCATTGAGGAGCAGAAGGGGAAGAGCTGGTCGTCAGGGAAGGATGGGGAAGGGCTGTCTGGAGACGGTGCCCCATCCCCGCAGGCAGGTGGGGTGGGTGGCGAGGGGGTCTGAGCCAGCTCTGCAGTCTCGTGCGGCCCGCCCCCCACCCCCCCCCCCGACAGCCCACGCCCCTGTGGGCGGAGACCCGTGACCTCTCCCCCTCCCCCTGAGGACTGGGAGTCTGGCTCCCCCAACCATTGGAGGCCCTGAATCAATGTTTGTCAGATGGGTGGCGCTCCGCGGCTGACAGCCGTGGAGCGCTCATTCTGCGCCAGGTACTGTGCTGGGGGCTTTAGGGATATGAAGTCACTGGACCCTCGTAGAACCAGGTGTTAACATTATTACTCACACTTTACAGGTGAGGAAACTGAGGCTCGGAGGGGTGACCCAAGGTGACGTGGTTGGTGGGTGTTAGATCTGGGATTTCCATCTGGTTACATTTTATCGCAAAGCCCCTGCTATTAACCGGAAGTGCCCCTGGATTGCTTCCTGGCCCATCGATGATGCCGGGCACAGAGCGCTGATATTTGCAGATCCTGCGCCGGCAGTGAGCACTGACCTCTGAGTTTGGGACTGCGTATGTGGCGTACTCAGCACGCACTAAGAGTTGGGCAATGCCGCAGGACCAGGACTTCAAAGGGCAGAATTCCAGACTGGTTTTGCTACAATCCAGCCCGTGTAACCAGGTCACTGAACTCACTGACCACTTGGTCCCGTCACTGTAAACAGGGCTGTGGTGAGGATCACGGAATAATAACCTGAGCATCGCATTCAGATTTTTATCTTAAAAATCTCTTTGGTTACGATGTAGGGAAGCTCCCCACGGTCACGGCTGGCTGATGTCATGCCGTGTGTGATTTGCTAATGGCACTCTGAGAGTGCTCCAGAGGCTGGAAGTGATTCGTCAGGCCGGTCTGTTCGAGTGCTCAAAGAGCAGCCTCAGAGAGGACCGAGGAAGCTTCTCTAGGGCACTCCCTTCTCTCATGTGCAGGAGAGATGGGACCCTCAAACAGGGTAGAAGTATGCCAGGGTCTCCCAGTGGCAAATGTGGGCCGGAATCCCGGTCACCTGGCTTGCTGTTGTGCCCTTCCCACCACATACTGGCACTGAGCACCTGCGATGCCTGGCACAGGACACAGGGTGATGGTGGAGACGAGCACAGCCCTGCCCTCAAGGAGCCTACAGTCCAACAGACCAGCCTCATGCTCTGTGTCGTCATGCTGCCTGTCCTGGGTGCCGAGGGGCTGTGACAACTGCCCCAGGCCCTAGCTTTTCTCCTATTACCCTAGTGTCGTGAAGATTGCTCCGGGCAAAGGGAAGGATGCCACTCTTCTTCCGGAAGCGGAAACCCAGCGAGGAGGCTCGGAAACGCCTGGAGTACCAGATGTGCCTGGTGAGGGAAAACGGGTTTCCTGAGTTCACCCCCCACCCCCCGAAGCAGGGCTCCGTGCTGCCCCCCCCACACAAGCCATGCTCCCTCCCCTCCGCCTCCCCCACTCCCAGAGGAAGCCTCGGACGTAGAGCAGAGCCCGGGGGCTGCCTGGCAGGTGCTCAGGTGCCCTGTAATTCCCTCCGTAGACCGGTTCCACCTGTTGCTACTTGTTCATTCGCTCTTCCTGCTGGCCCTCGAGGCCCTTTAAAACAGGGATCGTCGGTCCAACTACGAAGTGGACTAGCTGAACCAGATGCTGCCCTTGCAGATCCTTAGCCCTGTGTTTCTTTGCCTGTCCGTCCACTCTGCCAGTGTGTTTTGTCTGCAACATAAAAATCACTCTTCTCCTTAGGCAAAAGAGGCTGGAGCTGACGACATCCTTGACATCTCTAAATGTGAGCTCTCGGAGGTAAACGGGGACGGCGCTCTGGTTGGGAATTGGATCCGTCCTTTTTTTTTTCTTGAATCGCGCGTCCCTGGGAAAGAGATGTGGACCGGGGCTTTCAAAAGTGCGGAATCACTAGTTCAAGAGAGGTTTCCCTAGATTTCGTTCTTGCCCGAAAGAACTGAGATGGTCTTTGGTCTCAGCACAGTCTTTGAGGGTCAGGAGCCTACCTGGAAAATGTCCACAGATTCCGAGGAGAGCCTGGGTTTCTGCGGCCTCTGCAAAGCTCCTTGGATAGAACTGATGATGGGCATGGGCTGGGCGGGCTAGGGCCGGGCAGGGCGATCTCCTGCCAGCGGACTGGGAGGGCTGACCGTACCCCGAGAACCACTGCTCCCCAGCCCCTCCCTGGGCTTAGCCGCTCTCCGCACAGGTGTGTTGCACCTGCACCGTTTGCCTCCCGCCCCATCGCTCCCTCACGTGTGTGCCGCTCGGGACACGAGTGAAAAACTGGCAGGCGGGGAGGCACTGACTCTTCTCTGTTTCATCTTAGATTCCATTTGGGGCTTTCGCAACGTGCAAAGTTCTGCAGAAGAAGGTGAGACAGGCTGTTTTCAGAGAACTGTTCTCTGCGGGTTTGCTCGTTTGAAGTCAAGTGGGGCTCTCTTCCTGGCACCTCTGTGTTCTCCGACTCGCACCCCGTCAGCCTGAGGCGGCCCTCCCCACAGTTAGGGGGGCCAGCCCCGGCACGGGACGGCCCGGGGTCACATCCTGGCTTCTCCCCTCGTGCCTTGAGCAACTTCCTCAAACCCTACCATCTCCGTTTCTTCATCTGTGACGTGAACACCTTCGCCGCTTTACCCTCACGGAGCAACAGCGAGAATCGAATGAGTGGCGGGTGGAGAGGGAGAGGCAGATGCAAGCGCTCAGGGTGTAATGCCTGCCTCGCGGCGAACCCTGAGCGCCCTCAGCGTTACTAGTAATAAAAACGACACTCCCCGCATTGTGCTCGCCCCGGGGAGACTGAGAGTGTAATGAACGATGGTCCAGAAAGTCCTGGCAGCTCTGAATGCAGCTGCATGAGAGTGTTCTGCTCGCCTTGTCCAGGGGAAGGCGGGTGAGGAGTGTCCCGCACCGACACAGCGGCGAGCTCCTCGGCACTGGAAGCGCCCATGCAGGGGACAGTGCCTAACAGGGCAGACACAGGCAGAGCCCTGGCCACGTGCCGGCCCTGGGCCCAGGGCTTTTTGGCCGTTAGCTTGCTGATCATGATGGCAGCCCTCAGGGGTCAGGCCAATGGCACGGGGGTCCCGTCTCAGAATGGAAGGTAGAATGAACCCTCCAAGGTCTCTTTTACCCTTGAAATTCCGGGTCTCAAGGTCATCTGATTGCTCTGGGACCCCATCCCCACCCGCCCTGTGGTGTTTGGGAGAGCAGAGAGGGCTGGGCAGGGCAAGGCAGGTGGGGCCGATGTGCCTGCCCTCGGCCTTCCCCACTTCCTGCTCTCCAACCTGACGTACCTGGTGCGCACCTTTTCCCACACAGGTGTTCATCGTCCACACGAATTACCTCACCTCCCTGCTCCCGAAATCCTGCAGCCTGCAGAGTCTCCTCACCATCAAGGTACCGGGGCCCTTCTCCCAGGCGTCGGGGACTCTGCCTGGGGTTCCAGGAGGCAGCCAAGCACCCCTCTGTTCAAGGTTATGGCAGGCAGACTTAACGTAGTAATCAGTCTGGGGTTTGAGCACCATGGCTTACTGGGCATCTACTACGTGCTGGGTGTCGTGCCGTGGGGTTAGGAAGAGAAGCAGCCGCAGGCCTCGCCCTCGGGGAGCTGGCCCGCGGGTGAAAAGATAGGCCACAGACTCACCACAGGCGAACTAGCAGGGAGCAGGGAGCCTGACTGCCCCAGAGAACCGGAGCAGGATGGATGCCGGGCACCTCGTGGCCACGGTGTGAAAGCCCGGTGACCCAGGGCAACTCCCTCCTGACCGTCAGGACAGGGGCTGGGTTGTCGCAGTCACACGGCATGGGAGCTGAGATCACAAGGCCGTGCCACGTGACCGTAAGCGGTGGCGGCGGGTGTGCACGCTGAGAGAACCTGGCAGCCTGGGCAGCGAGGGCTTGCACGGTTACCTCTGGTGCGCAAGGGGCGGGGCAGTTCTCACTTCCCTTCGTGTCCTGCACGGGTTACCTTCCGGGTCGGAAAAGATACCATTAACGTTTTCAGTGTTCATGTAGACTGCTATCTCATACATACATGTAGCATATATACACATGTGTGTGTGTCCCTCCATACTCACGCCTACATCCGTGTAGCTCCCCCACGCCTTTTACGCTCACTGTCACTGTTAAAAAAATTCACAAATACAGGTAAGCAGAAAACGAGGAAAATCGTATGTGATTTCATACTCCAGAGAGCCACTATTGATATTTGATTGCCTATTTAGTAGTCGTTTTCTATGCAAATATATATATTTATACTCTGAAGATTTTTTTCTTAAACAAGTAAATATCTTTGCATACTTTTTTACTCAGCAGTAAAAATAAGTGTTTGATAAACGAAAGGATGAAATGGGAGAACATTCCGGAAAAGGAAATGAGGTGAAATGATCATTTAGTTGGAGGGGAAAGGCTGGGTGCTCTATCTCAACACCGGGGGCCCGAGGCACCCACGTGCGCTCACCCCTCGGGAGCCTGGAGTCGGAGGGGCTGTCTCCGTTGGTCACTGTCATTAGGTGCTGAGCGCGTCTTCCTTCCGCAGGTCCTGGACCTTCATCATAACCAGCTGACAGCCCTGCCTGAGGATATCGGGCAGCTGACGGCCCTCCAGGTAAGGCTGCCGGAAACGGGACACCCACGTCTGGTCGCCCGAGTGAGAGGTGGTGGCCGCCCAGGCCTGGGGCCTTCTGGCTGTGCTCAGCCACGGCAGGCCCTGGGCGCCAGCCCCCCGGCCCCTTAGCAGTTGAGACACCCAGTGACACCCTTGCCACTGCAGCCTGGGCTGTGGGTGTCCCCCTACCATATTTTTGGCTTGTCCTTTTTGAGATTCTATCATGAGCTTCCACAGTTTTACAGAAAAGGGCTACTCAGTGAGTCCACCTTTTAAAATGCCAAATTCAACACTCGACCCCCGGTCCCCCTTCTAACCCTTGGCAGCCCCCCTCCCTGTGTTGAGCGCTTACAGCGAAGCACTGCCTTTGCATTGTCTACTGATCCCTCGCGGCGTCCCGGGGAGGCAGGTGCAGGCTGTCCCCCGTTTACAGAGGAGGACGTGGCTTTCCTTCACACCTGAAGTCCCTTTTCTCCATTGAGCTCAGTCAGACCCTGTGCGGCGGGTCCACCTGTCCCTCCAGTCTCCTCTCTCCCCTTCATTCCCTGCAGTTGGCTCCTAACACCCCTCTGGCCTTCTGGCCCCACCCTCCACTGGGCTTCCCCTCAGCCTGAGTGGCTTACCACTCAGCCCACATACCCCTGAGGATCCCCTCTGGCCTCCCCGTCTAAGTAGGTCTGCCTTCTTTGCCCTGTGCCCACCCCAGATTATCTCCCCAAGAACACTAATTGCAGTGTAATGACTGATTATGTGTCCCTTGGCTTGGCTCTCCCCTGTACTGAACCGCAGCCCCGGGGGGCTGTGCCCCCACCCAGCACACTGCCTCGCACGGGGAGGAGACTCATGACTTGAGTGAACAACCCTGCCGCGTGGGTGATGCTGCCGCATCCTGCAGCAGCGAGAACCGTCCAGAGGCATGACTGTAACTTGCCCCAAGTCACACGGAGAACGTGTGGCGGGACAGAAGCGATTGCCACCACTTAGAGAGAGCCACAGTGAACACGCTGGTGTAGGGTCTTTGGGGACATTTTTAATACACGTATCTTTATAAAATTGCTGCATCAGCTGTTTTGTAACTTTTAGATACCTGACAATCACTCACAACCATCCCTCGGTTCATCAAATATTCATCTGCCACATTGGTTTCCATGGCTGCCAGCTCCCATTGTATCCATATTTAATGTCTACTTGGTGCGTCATCCTGCTGGCCGTGCTCGCCTCCCGGCAGGTGACCGCGGCCTCTGGGATCCAGCAGGCCCCGGCTCTGCCCCGGCTCTGCCCCGGCCCCGGCCCCAGCAGCTGTGGCCTCGGAGTTTGGGCAGGTCCCACTGCCTCTGCGCGGCTCAGCTCCTTCTCCTCACAGTGCACTAGCTGGGTCCTTGTCACGAGCCGCCTCACCCGGACCCCTAACCTCTCGGTCCCCTCCTCCCTCCCTCCCTGACCGTGGGGCTGTTGCCGTGCACTCCGCGGTCTGTGCAAATGGCGGAACCTCAGCCAGCACCGGCTCACGGTCTGGCTGTGCTCTCTCGGGCACATGACTTCACTGGTCCGGGCCTCAGTTTTCTCATCTCTCAAATGGCATCATAGCAACCTATACCTTCCTCACGAGGCCATCGGGAGGAGGGAGAGGTATGTGTGTAGGATCCGGACGATTCCGGGCCCGAAGCAGGGGCACCGCTGCTGTCTGTATGTGGGGCCTCACAATTTTCCTCTTTCTCAGGTGTTAAACGTGGAGAGGAATCAACTGACGCATCTCCCACGTTCCATTGGGAAACTGAGCCAGCTCCAGACCCTCAATGCAAAAGGTAGGAGCCAGGAAGCCTGGTCCGTGGGCCCCTTGGTCAGCTCTGTCCTGGCCAGCATCCTCCTGGGAGCCAGGGAGCAGGAGCGCAGCCCGTCCCCAGCTGTCACTATACACTGGACCGACCTCCTGTCGGTCCATCTGTCACCATGGTAACCATGGTTAGATGCTCGTGGGCAGGAGGGCAGGCGGCACTGACAGCTCGGCCTCTGAGACGCCATCACTTGCATTTGTAACAATGAGTATGGGGTGGGCGGCGCACTGACGGGGTGAGAGCCACTCAGGAGCCGCCGGCACGGTTCTGAGTGGCGCCTCCCACTCAGCGAGCGGCGCTTCCACAGTCCACAGCGCAGGGAGCCTCGTTCAAGCCCGGGAGCCCTGGGGAGGGCGGGAGGGCCCCCCCACCTGACCGATGAAGAAAACCAGCCTCGGAGAGCAGTGACTTGCTCAGGACCACCCAGCACAACGACGACAGAACCAAGATTCTGACGCAGCGGTCGCGTGCCTGCCTCGCCAGACCCCCAGCCCTTCCTCCGCCTCTGGCTCTTTGCAGCACTTTCTGCACAGACCGCCTCCGTGGCAGGAGTGGTGATAAAAGCCATGGCGCCCCATTACTGACCCCTCACGGTGCATGAGGCACCGCGCTGAGCACCCCATGTGGGTAATCTCATTGGATCCCTCAATCTCCTGTGAGGGCAACTGGCGTTATTAGCCCAATTTACAGCTGAGAAGACTGTGCCCCAGGGAGGTAAAGTTGGTTTTCCAAAGTCACCCAGCTAGTAAGTTACGGAACTTGAGCCCAGGTCGCTGACACCCCACCACCGTGGTCTTCCTCACAGAGGTTCCATGAGGGTCAGAGACACCCACTCCCCCCACAACCCTGAGTTCTGGTGGGAGCCAGACAGGAATCTGGTGAAGGGGTTTTGGGGTGCTGAGCTGTGCTATTGGGATCTTTCCAGACAACAGGCTGAAGGAGCTTCCGGTCACCGTGGGGGAACTTCGAAGCTTACGTACTCTGGACATCAGCGAAAACGACATTCAGAGGTTGCCGCAGATGCTGGCGCACGTTCGGACTCTGGAGGTAGGCGGGGCCGTCCTTGCCTGGGGCTCTCTCTGGCTGCCCACGCCCCTCCTCCCACGGTGCTGAGTACCTGTCCTGGTGTCCGGGCGCTGGGGCCACAGAGATCTCAACACTGGTCCTCAGGGGCTTGCGCAGTGACCCATGTGTGAACGGTTGTAATTCTGTGGCTTTTGCTGTTGTAATGGTGGCATGGAAACATGTTTTCAGAGCGAAGAGATAATGCTAAACCCTGACGGGCTGACACTTTGTGAAAGAGGTGGTTTTGAGCCAGACCTCGGCAGAGAAGTGGGTATAGACAAGGGTAACGGGAGCATTCCAGGCTCTTCCTAGGCTGAGCACTTGACCTGCATTGATCCCTGAATCCTCACAAAAATCCTGGAAGGCAAATACTGTCGTGCCCCCTGCAGATGAGGAAACTGAGGCATGGACCATTTGAGGCGCTTGCCCAAGGCCACACAACCAGTGACAGCACAGACGGGACTGAAAACCAGGCCGTCTGGATCCAGGGCCTGTGCTCCCCGCCTCTGCGCAGCTCGGCCCCCAGAACGGGGACTCAGCCACTCACGCTGGCACACGTCTGACCAGGCACCCCAGGCCCCTCTGGTGAGCTGCCAGCGAATTGGCTCTCCAGCCAGACTGCCGACCATCGGCATCTGGGCCAGGAGCGAGGAGACGACACAGGGAGGTGGCTGACCCCAGGGGCTGGTCCCTGCTGCCATGGCGGACAGCATGAGGCAGGACAGGTGGTCAGGCGGCTCCCCCTGGGCAGCCTGGAGGAACGGGCCAGTGCAGGGATGTTCTTGGTGTCGCCCGATGGGATGCCCAGCGGTGATGGAAGTGTTCAGTGACTGTGTCCAGTCGGTAGCCACTAGCCACACGTGGCTATGGAGCGCTCGTGCGGGCTAGCATGACCAGGGAACCATGTGTTTGACTTCACTGGATTTTAGTTAATTCATATTTCAATAGCTCCCTGCACTCAGTTGCTGCTTGATTGGACAGCACAGCTCAGAGCTGTGCTCCTCACTGAGGCCATTCTGAGACAGCAAGTGAGAGAGCTCTGTGATTTGCTTTATGTCAGTTCTTTAAACAAAAGTCTTTTGAGCCTCCTGGTGGCACTTGAAACAAAGTTGTTTTCAACATGAGACAATTACTGCCACTGTTCTTAGTTGAGATCAGGGTCTTTTTCACATACCGTCTCCACTTACCCATCACAAAGCCTGCCAGCTCGGTGGTGCTGTGCCTGGTTAAGTCTGAGGGAGCAGTGGCTCGGGGAGGTGCGGTGGCCCGTTCAGGGGCACACAGCTGGCCCGTGGCGAGCTCCAGTCTGAAATCAGGGCTGTGTGGCTCCTCGCACTGCTGTCCCAAAGCTGCTGCTCCTGCCAATGACGGAAATATTCCATAGTCTGTGTCGTCTGATTCAGTACCTGCCAGCACTTGAACTGTGGCTGGTGCGTTGAAATTCTCTTTAATTTCCATCAACTAAAATTTAAAATGGCCATACTTGACTCACAGCCACCGTACTGGGCAGAGCAGCCTTAGCGTCCGAGCTCTTGAGCCACCACACTTGCCAGTTGGTGACTAACACGACCCACGGTGGGGTGACTTTCCCTTGGATTCAGTTCCCCAGGATGAGCTTTTCTGCCCTCGGGCCTCCACCCCAGGCAGGCAGTCCCTCTGCCCCAGAGCAGGCTCCCCTCACCCCTGCAATTCATGTTCACTCCGCACCCCGCGGCTGCAGGGGCAGTGCTGGCGTGATGTGGACCCCGGCCCGCGGGGTCTGTGTGTTGTGGCTGCAACAGACTGCAGAAGCCCTGTGGAGAAGAAGGGACGGCATGGCCACTCTCTGAGTGACAGAGTGCCCGACCCCCGCCTGGGCAGGCTTTTATTGCTTTTCTGGGAGCATTACTTCAAGGAAGGTCTTCATACATCGTTGTCAGGCAGTAATGATCAAACGATAGGTAACATTCAGAGAACTAGGAGGGCTTATTCTGAGTCAGGGTCAGTTAGCTAAAGGGCTATAAAACTTGGGGAAACAAACTCATTTCATGTTTGGACCCTTATCATTTAAATTGAGGATATTAGCAAAGCAGGTTTCACAGGATTTTGTGCATTCTTAGGCCTGATTGCCCCGGGGAACTGCCCCTTCCTGCCCAGGGCATTGATTCAGGCTTAAGTCAGCCAGGTGGGAGAAGTAAGGCAGCCAAGAGATTAGGAGACTTTTGGCAGACAGAATGAGGACTCAGGCCTTGTCAAAGCTGAGGGGTAAGGGTCCATCACCCCCTTTTGCTATAGCCCCCCCCCAGTGCTTCCCTGAGGGCCCCTTCATGACCGTGCCTGCCTTAGGTCGTCCCTTTCGTCAGGAATCTTACCTGTCACTGGCTAACCAGTCATCCGCCCGGGGCCCAGCCGGCTGAAGTAAAAGGGGGCCGAGGCGGTGCTTTGTCTCCTTAGTGGCTTATGGTCCCAAGGCCGCTCACTCAGCCCTTGCCATGGGGGGGTTACAGCTCCTGAAACCAGGCAGGGTGGCCCCCAACACCGGTGGAGCTGGGGAGGACATCCGGGCTGCTCTTCCCACTCTGGCTTCCCGGGCTTTGTCCCCTCTCCCCCGAGGCCTGTGTCTGCCTCAGGGGGATGGTCAGTTCCCGATGGGGGCTGGGGCAACTCGTGGGGCGCTCCGTGGCATCGGGAAGTGAGACGGTGCAGGGGAGGGCTTGCTCCTGACGGACTCATGCTGCGGCCGCGGGCAGCTTTGTGGACGCTCGCGCGGCCCTCGGCCCCTCTTTCCTGGGCTCCGTAAAGCACGTGTGTGCGCGCAAGTATAATTCTTTTTCTTACTTAAAAAGTCATATTGCATTGCTAAAGATTCACATTTAAAAAAGGAGAATTTCATGTAGAAAGTGCCCCAGAACCTGTCCTTAGGGAAATCACTCTGAGTCTGAGACACATTGCTCCAAGTTTTTTTGCGTGTGCTAATCTGAGACTGTACAAGTTGTTTGTTTTATAAAAATGGAATCTTATTCTCTGTGCTGTCCCATAACTCACCGCCCCCCCTTTTTTTAAGATCTTATTTATTTTTAGAGAGGGAAGGGAGGGAGAAAGAGAAAGAGAAACATCAATGTGCGGTTGCTGGGGGCCGTGGCCTGCAACCCAGGAATGTGCCCTGACTGGGAATCGAACCTGCGATGCTTTAGTTCACAGCCCATGCTCAATCCACTGAGCTATGCCAGCCAGGGCTCCTTTTTTTTTCTTTTGCTTACTCGTGTGTTTATCCAAAAACCTTAACTGAATGCTTGCTGTGGGCTAGTCACTTCCGGGAACTGGGAAGGTGGACAGAACGAGACAGCTCTCCCTGCTGGGCAGAGACGGGAGTCACCACATTGACAACTAAACTGGGGGGTTTCAACTGTGGTGAGCAGTGAAGGGGGCGACGTATATAAAGAGGGGTCCCCTTGTGTCCGCAGACCCTGAGCCTGGACGCCTCCTCCATGGCCTACCCGCCACCGGAGGTGTGTGGTGCCGGCACCGAGGCCATTCAGCAGTTCCTCTGCCGAGGTAAGGCCGGGCAGCCTGCCTCCTTTGCTCAGGGGGCGCACGCGGCCCCCCGAGGCTGCCCTGGGACAGCCCAGCCTGGGGGAGGCGGCAGAGACCGAGGAGGCCACAGGCTGGCAGGAGAGATGCGCCACACACGGTCACACAGGAAATGCAACTGCTTACAGTGGTTACGCGGGTACAGTGGGGCGTCAGAGTTAGGGTCTCGGGGAAGGTCTGTCTGAGAAAGTGGCTTGGTTGAAACCTGAGGGGCAATTCAAACTTCGACCAGAGGGAAGGGTGTTCCCGGCAGGCGCAGGTGCATGTGGAAGGGAAGGGCCGTGGAGGGAGGGCCGAGTGGCTGGGGGCCACGGTAAAGGGAGGAGAGACGGGGGTGAGGCGAGAAGGGGTCCAGGCCTCTTGTGCAGGAGAGGGATGCACTTTTTATTGTGCAAAAGTTCCCCCGGATCCTGGGAGGAGAAGGGATTGGAGGAGGCAGGAGTGGAGGGTGGGGGACCCGTGAGGAGGTCACTGGGGTCATCCGAAGAGATGCCATGGTGGACTGGACTTATAAGGGTGGCCATGCAGCGGCAGGAGCTAGAGCCCAGGGCTGGGCGCCAGCGGGGAGAGCAGTGCACAGGCAGACCCTGGAGACAGCGCGGCCCCCTCCAGGCCGCTGCGGCAGGACAGCAAGGCGTGAGCTTTCTGCTGGTGCGGGTGGCGGGGGTCTTGCCTCCAGTTTGTAAAGAGCACAGTGACGCTGGGCGAGGCCTGCCTGCGCCCAGTTACCTCCTGTGAGGCTGGAGGGGCCCCTGTCACCTGCTGAACTTCCGGGGCACAGTCAAGACTCGCACACACATCTGATCATCTGGCTTGTGATGGAGGTGCCATCGCGGGGCACTGAGAAAGGAGAGCCGAGTGCTTGTCGTAAATGATCCTGGGTCAGCTGGATACCCATGTGGGAAAGAAGGAACCTTGACCTCTTCCTTAAATATAGGAGACAGGCAGCACTCACCGTGGAAGGTCGATCAGTTAGTTTTCATTAAGATCAAAAACTTCTTCCCCTCCAAGGACACCATCCAGGGAAAGGAAGGCAGGCTCTGAAGCTGGAGACGAAGCTGCGATGCATACCCAGCGAGGGGCTTGCTCCCGGAAGGTGGCGAGAGCTAGAGAGCAGTAAGCAAAAGGCACTGTCAAAAGACGCGAGTAGGAATTTTAGAAAAGAGGATATCCAGGTCGTCATCAGTCACGAAAAAAGGGAGTCGGCAGCATTTTAGTCAATGGGAAAATGCAAATTGAAACTGCAAAGAGATACGTAAACCCTAACTCACCCACAAAAGTGGCCGAGAGTTAAAGACGGGGAGCGACGGGCGCTCCAGCACGCTGCCGGGGGAGGCGTGAGTCGGGACTCTTCAGAAAGGGGCTGTGCACACCCACCCACACTGAGCTCTCGAATGCCCGGGGTTGCTTCAGTTCCATGCCTGGGTCAGGGCCGGGGGCGGTGCATGCATGCTGTCACATGACCAAGGCCAAGCACAGAGGTGCCCGTAGCAGCCCCCTGTGTGACAGCCCAGCCTGGAAACACCGCACGTCCGTCGGCAGTAGAACGGACAGTCAGTCTGCTGTCCGCTCACGACACCACACAGCAGCCGAGAGCAGACTGTGCTGAGCCGCCCTGACGTGGTGGGAGCCCAGAGAAGCCAGGCGCGGGAAGGTGCCCTTGAGCTCCGACCAGCACTGAGCGTCCTCTCGGGCGCGTTCGCTCTCAGGCAGCGGTGAGCCACGCAGGAGGGCTCATGCCTGTTCAGTACGGGAGTGACACCGCAGTTCCTAAAGGGAGGCGGCGTGCGCCACACGGCAGCCCCGGGCCACGGCCATCAGAGCGGTCTGAGCACCAGGCGGTCCTGACCGGCGCCGTGGGCGCACCCGCCTCGCAGCTGCAGAAACACTCCTTCAGCTGTGTCGGCTGTGTGGTGGACATCCACATGCACGCAGGGTTTTTGGTTTTGCTCTTTAAACGCATTAAAGAAAAAACCCACAAAAGATATATTATGTGACTCTGTGCCCTGCTTTTTTTTTTTTTTTTACTTAAAATAAGCCTGTGCCCTTTCCTGACACATGGATCTGCCTCATTTAAACTGCTGTGCAGCATTTCACGAGCCGGAGCCCGCTGGTGTGAACGTGGGGGTTCCCTGCGGTACCCCCTCACGAACACTGACCCGAGCCTCCCTGGCCCACGTGCGCGTGCCGCTGGGGCAGGCGCAGCCGGGCTGGCGCGGCGGCGGGGACCAGCACCCCGCGTTGCCCTCCGAAGAGGTTACACCAGGCTGTCTTCCCACGGGGCGCATGGGAGAGGGCCCTTCCCCCACCCCGACCTGGCTAGCACTTGGTACTGTCTTAACAGTCTTCTAATCTGGTGGTAAACAAGGGAGCCTGTTATAATATAATGTCAGCTCCTTGATTGTGTGAATATTTGTTCATGTGTCTAATGCCCGGTTTCAGTTGTTCTCGTGAATTGCCTATTTACGTCCTTGCTGTGGTGGGCAGGTAACTTTGACTACATTGAAATCTACTTCTATTTTTAAGATTTTATTTATTTACTTTTAGACAGAGGGGAAGGAAAGGAGCGAGAAAGAGAGGGAGAGAAACATCAGGGTGTGGTTGCCTCTTGCATGTCCCCATCTGGGAGCCTGGCCCGAAACCCAGGCATGTGCCCTGACGGGGAATCGAACCGGAGACCCTTTGGTTCACAGGCTGGTGCTCAATCCACTGAGCCATACATACCAGCCTAGGCAAAATCTAAACCTTCTTTATCTCAAAAGGATAAGATACCATCATCAAAGCTAAAAAGACAAGTTGCCACCTAAAGAAAGATAGTGGCAACATGTACTATAGACTGAAGATTACTAACTATAGCACATAAAGAGCACCAACAAATCAGCAAGAACAAGGCAAAAACTACCCAGGGCCAGAAGGCCAGCCTCTTGCCTAAGGTCCTGCACACAGGAAATCAGGGGTAAAGCTGAGTCTTGATCCCAGCCTTCAACTACTGATCTCAGGCTTTTTTCCACCTTATCTCCACTTGGTGATAAAGAGGCAGTTGGCGTGTCTATTTATTCACTCAGCTGAAGCTCCCTGAGCACTGGCTACACTGGCCCAGGCGTGAGGACTGGTGGGGGACATGAGAGCCCAGCCTGGGGCAAGGGGGCAGCGGCCTGAGGTGGGGGTGGGACAGGGTGCCGAGGAGGAAGGCGGGGTGACAGGAGCTGGCAGTGCCAGGTACCTGGGCTGCCCCCTCCCCTTGGGGCAACTTGAACCATCTCTTGCAGAGTCAGGGCTGGAGTACTACCCACCTTCTCAGTACCTGCTGCCGGTCCTAGAGCGAGACGGGGCCGAGAGCTCCCAGGACAGCCCCGATGGGCCCGTGGACCGATTCTCCAGAGAAGAGGTAGAATGGCAGGTAAGGTGCACCCACCTGCTGGCACGTGGAGGGGGGTCCCGGGCACTGGGGGGATGTTCAGAGCTGCAGCCTCTAGTGTCCTCCATCAAAGTAAAGTTCACCTCCTTTCAGACCGATGTGCTTAGACAGCTTTTGTGAGGCCAACCCACCTCTCCAGCTCCCCAAGCGTCAGCAGCACCCTGCTGCCTTCTGCTGTTCGGGCTGACTCTCCCAGGCCCCTGTGTGGTGCAGGCGCACACACACACACACACAGGCCTGCCTTGGGGAGATCGCGGGTCTGTTTCCAGGCCACTACAATGCAACAAATGTCACAGCAGAGCAAGTCACATGGATTTGTGGGTTTCCCATGCATATAAAAGTTATGTGCACACTGTACCATAGTCTGTTAAGTGTGCAATAGCATTATGTCTAAAAAATGTGCACACCATAATTAAAAACTACTTTATTGCTAAAAAATGCTAACCATCATCTAAACCTTCAGCAAATTGCAATCTTTTTGCTGGTAGAGGATCTTAACCTCAATGTTGATAGAAACATAGTATCTGCAAAGTGCAACAAAATGATGTATGTCTGTATATGCATTTTTGCTAAGGTACAAATTTATGGAAGTGTATGCGTGGACTTGGGTCTGAGAATGACATGTGGGGTGGGGTGGGGTGGGGTGGGGGAGCCAGGGTTAGGACTGGGAGTGTTCAGTGGGTGCCTCAGTTTTATATGCCATGTTTTAATTCCATGTTTTAATTTTTTTGAAGATTTTATTTATTTTTAGACAGAGGGGAAGGGAGGGAGAAAGAGAGAGAGAGGAATATCAATGTGTGGTTGTCTCATGCACCCTCCCACTGGGGACCTGGCCCACAACCCAGGCATGTGCCCTGACTGGGAATCAAACTAACAACCCTTTGTTTCTCAGGCCGGTGCTCAGTCCACTGAGCCACACCAGCCAGGGCTTGGTCTCCCTTTCTGAGTACCAGGCCTTCTCAGGGCTGCATCCCCGGAACTGTGTTGAAGACCTTCCTACGGGGGGACCTAGCCCCATGGTTCTCAGCCCTCAGTGTCCACCCCCCACTGCACCATTCGGATGCCGTACTCTGGGCTGGGCCTGGGGGTCTCAGTGGCATCAGGCTGCCCACCTTCTCTGACCACTGCCTTTTCCCCCCCAGAATAGGTTCTCAGACTATGAGAAGAGGAAGGTAAGAAAATACCTTTTGTCCTCCATTGCTTTGCCTCTCATTAAAGATCTCAACAATTATAAAAGGCTTGAGGAAACAAGTTCTTCCTGCCTCTAAGTTAGAGGGTGAAGCAACGCTTTCCTTACATACATCACCCCGGCACACCCTCCCAGCCTCAGTAGGTGGTAGAGTGTCTCCATTTGGCAGATGAGAAGACTGAGGCTCAGAGGCGCTGAGCCCAGCCCCAGGCTCTAAATCGTTGGCCCCGGCCAGCGAACAGCCCGTTTCATTTCAGTGGGGCCCTGTGGGGCGGCTCAGCGTTAAGACCCGCAGCCCGCACTGTTCAGAGTTTCGGGGCAGGTTCACACTGCTCCCACGTCCTGATGCCCGTCCTGATGCCCGCAAGTCCGGTGCCAGCAGTCACCAGGACCTCCGTCCTCGCAGGAACAGAAGATGCTGGAGAAACTCGAGTTTGAACGGCGCCTGGAAGTCGGGCAGCGAGAGCACGCGCAGCTCCTGCAGCAGAGCAACAGCCACAGGGACGAGATCCTTCAGACAGTCAGGGAGGTTCGTGAGTGGCCGGCGGGGTCGGCCTGTCCGTGCGCCCCTGCCAGGGCCTCCTGACTGCAGCCGGGGCCCCTCTGGTGGGGGAAGGCAGTGGGAGTGAGCTCCCTCACTTCCAGACTCCAGGGCCTAGGGGCCTTAACACCGCCTCGTCCGGACTCCTTGGGCGGGCACCATGCACACCCCGAGGCCTAGCAAGGGGAGGACCTGGCCCAAGGTCACATGGAAAGGGCTGGCAGGATGGGGGTGGAGCACCCATTCTCCTAACCCCAGTCAGGGGCCCCTCACTGCCCTAGGGCATCTAAAGGGGCTGCAGGCACTCAGGACCTCTGCCCGCCGTCCTGCCGCAGGAGCAGTCCCGGCTGGAGCAGGGCCTCAGCAAGCACCGGCGCTACCTGGACGCAGAGCGTCAGCGGCTGCAGGAGCAGCTGAAGCAGACGGAGCAGAACATCTCCAACCGGATCCGGAAGCTCCTGCAAGACAATCAGAGGTCAGGCTGGTGTCCTCCCAGCTCCCAGGCCCAGGGACCTTCTCCCACATGATACCCTTGAGGGAGACCAGGCTGGGGGTCCACGTCCCTGTCACAGGCCCCACTCCCACCCAAGGGTTCCACTGTTGGGTCCGGTCTCAATGCTGCAGTCACACTGACTTAAAGAGGAGAGACCGGTCCGGGCATGGCCAGCTCTGTGCCCTGTTCTGGGGCGGCCACCGACCGGACCTGGGCCCCTCGGCGTCCCAGCTGCAAAATGAGCAGATGCAGCAGGACAGGTCAGAGCACCTCTGTTCCAGTCCTGTGGGTTCCGCTCGCCCAAGCAGGGCCTCTGGGAGCAGGTCTCGGTGGGGCCTGGGAGAAAGGGGGCCGGGCAGAGACCTCAGGGGGGAGCCCGAGGAAGGCTGGTTGGGGCTCCCAGGGAAAAGGTCCCCAAACAGGCTCTCACCACGTCCCCTGTCCTTTCCGGGCTTCCTTTGCTCTTCACTCTCCCTCTGCCATCCTGGGTGCCTGCAAGTCCCTCTGCCGTCCTGGGCGCCCGCAAGCCGGTGCCCTGCTCCCCGAGCCCTCACCACCACCTCGGGCGTCCGGGACAGCTCCCATCCTCTGGGCGTGTCTTAAGTGCCACGCGCTTCATGTGCATTTTCTCACTCTTTACAAATACTCCACGAAGGTTTTGTTGTTGTCATTGTTGTTTAATACTGTGCTCATGTCACAGTCGAGGAACTGACCTGAGACCACAGGGCCCCTCCCTCAGCGGTGGGGCTGGGGCGCAGAGGCCCCCAGCCGGTCCCTCCCCGTCCTGTGCTGCTGCCAGTGCAGAGAGGGGGCCAGTGCAGGAGGGGGCGGGGCCTCTGGAAACTGGCGTGCCCTGCCGGGGGCCGCTGCAGGGACCTGTCCCGTGTTTCTCCGCAGGCAAAAAAAGACCTCCGAGATTTTGAAGTCGCTGGAAAATGAAAGGCAAGTGTTCTGCCCTAGCGCTTCCTCTGCACAGCCCTCCTTCCGGGGCACAGGGTGTGGAGGGGTGGCTTTGGGGTTAGGGTGTCTTAAGAATCTCAAGGATTATGTCCAAAAGCTTTCCTGAAGCCATGAGGAAATTCACCTCATTAGGGAATATCGAGTTGAAAAGAATCACTGTCTGCACGTTTGTGTGAGTGCATCCCTGACAAAAATTCAGAAGTGAACAAGAATGTATGTATAATGTCCTACTGTATTCCCAGCGTAAAAACAATGACCAAGAAATCTACATTTCTGGGGGGAAAAAAGACTTTGTTTACATGAATTATGCACTAAAGAATAATCTGTTGCCATTCAGTACTTGTAGAAGAATATTCCTCACTAAAGGAGACACAATATATGCTAAGTGGAAAAGTGGGGTCTACAGTCTATCATTTTTTAAACCATTTTGTTTATTTATTTTTAGAGAGGGGGAAGGGAGAGAGAAAGAGAGGGAGAGAAACATCAGTGTGTGGTTGCCTCTTGTATGCCCCTCACTGGGGAGCTGGCCTGACTGGGAATCAAACCAGTGACCCTTTGGTTTGCAAGCCAGTGCTTAATCAACTGAACAACTGAGCCACACCAGCCAGGGCCAGTCTATCATTTCCTTTTTTTTTTAAGATTTTATTTATTTATTTTTAGAGAGGGAAGGGAGGGAGAGAGAGAGAGAGAAACATCAATGTGTAGTTGCTGGGGGTCATGGCCTGCAACCCAGGCATGTGCCCTGACTAGGAATCGAACCTGCGACACTTTGGTTTGCAGCCCGTGCTCAATCCACTGAGCTATGCCAGCCAGGACTAGTCTATCATTTCTCGAAGACAACCTGTACATTTCCATGCTCAGAAAGCAAAAAGACCCACCCCCGGTGGTGTACACTGAACATGTTTATAGGTAGGAATTAGAGGCGGTGATATTTTTCTTCCCTTATCAATATTTTTCAAGTTCGCTGCTTTGAGGTGTTCCACCATAGTAATGAGAAAGATGGTGGCTGGGAGGGACAACCTCTGCCACTTCCCCAGGTATTAATGGGACCCCTCCTGGCTCTCTGAGATCCCAAAACAGCAGCGTGAACTTTGCCACTGTCCTTGTGCCCAGCCTTCTGGGCCCCTGGCTGCCTGGGAGGGCCTACTGTAGGGCGCTCCGGCCGGGTCACAGAGCAGCCCACATCCCACCCACGTAAACTGTGGTGCTGGCGGTGGCCGAGGTGGTCAAGGCCAAGCTGTGGCCGGTGGCCTCATTTCTTCCGTACACGCTGATCAACTGCCCTCCCTGTGCCAGGTCTGGGGTCCAGTGGTGCACCCTACGGCCCCCCTGGAGCAGCCTGTGGTCCTGGGGCAGAGGGGCTCCGGTGAGACATGCTTCTTCCATTGCAGTCAGACCCTGCAGGAACATCAGAGGGTTATCCCTGCAAGCCACTGCAGCCAGCTGAGTGTGGGGAAAATGTGCTCACCCATGCAGCATGCATGCACGTACATGCACGTGATTTACCTTTCGTATTTTCATTTCAGGTTCTTATTTTTTCATTGCCATTTGCATTCAACACTTCTTAATTTTAGCTTATTATGTCATGGATGTCTCACCATACCATTGACCTTGTTGTTTGCAGTAGCCGCAGGGTACCCACTATGTGATTATGCCATAACTTATTTAATTGGCCCTCTGTTCACGAATATTTGTTTCCAGGTTTTCATAATTACAATTTCAGTGACTAGCTTCTAAATACACCTGTGTGCATTTACGTGACTAGTTTTTAAGGAAATAGTCAAAGGACATTTGATAGGTGTTGTTAAATTGCCTTCCAAACAACATTTCGCCAGTTTACACTCTCCTCACCAGTGTATGAAAGTGCCCATTTCACCGGCTCCATCGCCATCACCAATGGTCACTGGTTTTCTTAATCTCGGCCAGTCTGCTAGGTGAAAAGGTTTCACTTTCCTTAGTGACCAGTGGTATTAAGCGTCTTTCCGTGTATTTATTGGTCACTTGCGTCTAAGCAAGTGAAGTGGCGGTTTGCATCTTTTGCCCATTTTTCTAAAGGGATGCTCATCTTTATATGCAAGAAACTCTAACTGCAAGGCTGAAGGTAAACAGGGCCCCTGTGGGGGTGTGTGATGCAGCAGGAGCCCATCTAGGTTGGCACATCAAGGAGGACTTCCTGAAGGAGGTGCTATTCGTCTGAGGGAATTCCCTCTTGGAAACATTACATCTGCTAAATAAATGGGTGGGTTGTTCTTCCAGAATAAGAATGGAACAGTTGATGTCCATAACCCAGGAGGAGACGGAGAACCTGCGAAGACGTGAGGTTGCCTGTGAGTCTAAGGGAGGGAAAGGGTCAGGGGTCACGGGAACAGAGCTTGGCTCTCCAAGGGGGCAGGGCAGGCAGTCACCTATAGAGGGTGCTGACTTCTCCCATAAGAAGTAAGAAGTGATATGTTTAGTGTGAGAACATTTTGATTTTTCTGTTGCAGTGAAATACACACAACATAAAATGTACCATTTTAACCACTTTTCTGTGGTTCTGTGGCGTTTAAGCACATTATTGTGCAGCCGTCGCCACCCCCATGTCCAGAATTCTCATCTTGCAAAGCTGACACTCTATACCCAGCAAAGCACAGCTCATCGTTTCCGCCTCCCCCGCCCCTGGCACCCACCACTCTGCTCTCTGTCTCCGCCAATCCGGTGGCTCTAGGTCTCCCGTGTAAGTGGGGTCGCGTGGCGTTCACCTTTTTGTCGACCGGCTCCTTTCACTTAGCGAGGTTCTTCCGTGTTGCAGCTTGCCTCTGAGTCTGCTTCCCTGCTGAGGCTGCATAACGTCCCGTTGTGCGGGTGGAGGGCATTTGGTCACTGTCTTCGCTGCCAGCGGGCACTCGGGCTGTTTCCGCCTGTGGGTTGTTGCGAGTGATGCTGCTGTGGACGCGGTGCACACGCAGCTCTTCGATTCTCTGTCGGTTTCTTCTTTTTTTTTTTAAGATTTTGTTTATTTTTAGAGAGGGGAAGGAAGGGAGAATGAGAGGAAGAGAAACATCAGTGTGTGGTTGCCCCTCACATGGCCCCCACTGGGGACCTGGACAACCCCAGCATGTGCCCTGACCAGGAATCAAACTGGTGACCCCTCAGTTCTCAGCCCACGCTCAATCCACTTAGGGAGCTACAGCAGCCAGGGCAGTTTCTTAATTTTAACCGTTTAAAAACCATGAGTATACATTACCATTTAACTGGAAGAATACTTATCAAAATGTAATGATACCTCCGGGTGACCGATCATAGGAGATTTTGTGTGTGCTGCTCAGTGTCTTGCAGTGAGTCAATCTTTCGTGCTTAAGTTGTTTTGATAGTTTAATCAAAAAGATTTCTCTTGTGGGTGGCCATCAGGTGGGTGACTAGGTGGACCCTGCGAGGCCACCCCAGGAGTGGCCGCCCCGTTCTCAGCCCCCGTCCCCGTGTCTCCCCAGCCGCCATGCAGCAGATGCTGACCGAGAGCTGCAAGAACCGCTTCCTTCAGACGGCCTACGAGTCCCAGAGGCAGAGCTTGGTCCAGCAGGCCTGTTCCAGGTAAGGTAAGGAGAGGCTTCCTGAGGACGGGAGTTGGGGGAGCCGGCTCTGAGCCCCGGGAGTCCCCGCCCCCAGCCCCGAGCCTCGGCCGTGCTGCCGGAGGCAAGTGGTGACTGGCCTTCACGGACTGGCTGGCTGGACCTCGTGATCCTGTCTTGGGCCGTGATAAAGCGACAGTAACTCCTGTCACTGCACTTCAGCGATACTGTGTTTTTTACAGATTCAAGGTTTGTGGCAACCATGCCTCCACCAATATATTGGTGCCATTTTTCCTACAGGCTCAGATGGTTAGCATTTCGTAGCAGTGAAGAATTTTTTTAATTCAAGTATGTAATTGTTTTTGAGACATAATGCTATTGCACACTCAATAGGTTACAGCATAGCATAAACATAGTCCTTATGTGCACTGGGAAACCCAGAAATTCTCGTGTTCGCTTTATTGCAATGTTCCCTTTATCGCGGTGGTCTGGAACCGAACCCGCCACGTCTCTGAGATGTGCCTGTGGTCGCTACCACTTGCCGTGCACTTCTGTGCGCTGGGCACTCGGCCCGGGGGTGCGCGGCGGCTCACTGAACCTCTGAGGGGCTGTGTGGTTACTGGCCCCGATCTACAAGCACAGCTCGGGCTGGGAGATGCTACGTGACACACCCAAGGAAGCACAGCTATCAAGTGACAGGGTCAGGATTAGAACCCGGGCAGAGTGGGGGTGGAGGTGGGCTTTTTTTTTTTTTTAAGATTTATTTATTTACTTTTAGAGAAAGAGTAAGGGAGGGAGAAAGAAAGAGAGAGAAAACGTCAATGTGTGAGAGATACATTGACTGGTCCACCTCTCATATTCCCCGGATGGGAACCCAGCCCACAACCCAGGCATGTGCCCTGATCAGGAATCGAACCAGGGACCCTTCGGTTTGCAGACCGGTGCTCAATCCGCTGAGCCACACCAGCCATGGCGGGGCTGTGATGTTGACTGTGGTGCACTCCTCATCGCCAAGGGTCCGCACAGGTCAGGGCGGAGTGTACTGGGGGGCACGGTGATAGGGCTGCTGGTCCCTTCGGTGCTGACAGCCCTTCAGGGTCTGACTCTCCAAGTTCGCCGCAGCGGCACCGTGGGTTTACCTGTTGAGGGAGCCTTGAGGTCTGGCAGAGCCAGGTAAGAAGAGCCCCGTCGGTGCTCAGGAGCCCCAGGCGGGGATGGACCAGGAGCCAGGGCTTCCCTTGTGTTTGTCCTCCATCCAGACGGCACAGCTGCCTGCCTCCCCGTGCCCTCAGGGACGGGGCCTCCTCTTCTGCTTCCTGGCGTGTGGCGCTGTGCTTAGGGGCACGCGCGTGTCTTCTCTTAGTAACTGTGATGTCTCGGGCGAGTTACTTTCCCTTTCTGAGCCTCGAGTTTCATATCAGAAGAATAGGGGTAAATTGCAGTATTACCCCTAGAGTTGCTGGAGCATTTAATGAGCATTAGTGAGTGTGAGGTCTGCCTCATAGGGTCCAGTAAGTAACAGCCATTATTATGAAACAAACCAATGCAAGACCAAGGTGGCACCGAAGTGTGGACATACACGAGGTCGCAGGGTTTGGGTTTTTGTGCCAGAATCACTGGACCCGTTCTCGGCGCTGCGAGCAGACCCCTGCCGGGGCCAGAAAGGCTGCGGTGGGGAGCGCCGGCGTGAGTGCCCGGGAAGGACAGCTTTCTCCAGGCCCGCGCAGCTCACCAGGGGCCGTGCTCCGGCGGAGGGGGTGGTGGTGAGAGGACCGGGAGACCGTGTCTCCCAGCCCCCGAGGCAGAGACTTTGTCACCTTCTGCCCAGGGCCGCGGGACTCAGACAGACCCCGGCTGCGCCGAGCGCAGACCGCCAGGAGGAGAGGGGCAGGGAGAGGCCTCTGGTGGCGATCCACTGGTCACTGAAATCCAGGGAAGTGCCCCCAGCCGGCGCTCCAGAAGCACTGCCGAATGAATAAATGGTGTGTCCTGGTCTCCTCCGAGGTGCCTGGCACACAGGAGGTGCTTGGAAAACGTTGAGAGGGTAAATGAACTTTCTGTCTTCCCGGCAGCATGGCTGAAATGGACGAGCGGTTCCAGCAGATTCTGGCGTGGCAGCAGATGGACCAGAACAAAGCCATCAGCCAGATCCTGCAGGAGGTGAGCCCTTGCCCGGGGCGTGAGGGCGAGGTGCGCAGAGGCAGGGCCTCGGACCTCCGTGTGGAGCCCTGTCCTGGCCAGCACGTGACCCAGGGTGCCCGGTGCGCCCAGCGCAGACCGCCAGGAGGAGAGGGGCAGGGAGAGGCCTCTGGTGGCGATCCACCGGTCACTGAAATCCAGGGAAGTGCCCCTACTTCTCCCCGTGCTGTGGGGCCCCATCATAAGGCCTGGAAGAGCAGGGAGTGGATCACACCTCGGAGGAGGAGCCCACGGGAGGGCCCGCTGCACCCGCCTGCGCCCCTGCTGCCTCATTGGCTGCTGGGAAAGCAAGGCCTCCACCCTGCTCAGCGGGCCATGCTCTCTGTTGCAGAGCACCATGCAGAAGGCTGCATTTGAGGCTCTCCAGGTGAAGAAGGACCTGATGCATCGGCAGATCAGGAACCAGGTGAGCGTGTGGGGTCGTGGCCCCCCATCTAGACCTGTCCTGCCAGCTTCTGGAGTGGTGCAGAGGTGGCCGGACAGGTGGCAGATGAGGTTGAATCCTGGCTTTTTCGTGTGGCCACTCGGCAGGGGGCCTCCCTTCAGAACCTCCCTTTCCGCCCAGGACCAAGGTCAGGGGCTGCCGGAGGCGCCTCCAGGCAGCACTGTGAGTGCCCGGCAAACGTGCCCGGTCCTCACCGTTTCTCACACTGCCCTGGGCTGCAGCCTTGACCGCCGGGGCAGCCTCCATGCTGACCCCCCCCCCAGGCAGCCGGGAGCTGTGGGCTGGGACACACTGGATCTCCTGCCGGAGGGAGCAGGGAGGCCCTGTCAGCTGAGGGGTGACCTGGGCTTGGAGGAGAGGGATGCACTCTCATCCGGGCTCTGCTCTGACCTTCCGCCAGCGCTGGGCAGGCCCCGCCGCTGTGGCCTCTCGGCCGCCTCCATGGTGCGGGGCTGCCGGACCCGTGGGGCTTTCCCGAGGACGGGGTGCACTCAGTAGGCTGGGGGTGACGGGAGCTTCCAGGCTGTGGGGACGCTCATCACATCGTATTCCGCACACTTTGAATTTCGCATTTTGCATGTTTTTTTTTCTTTTTTGGGTCAAAACCAACTTACCTTTTTATTTCCCTGTTTAATTTCAATCCTACATAGCCAGACATGAAGCTCATTCCTCTGACCAGGGGCTGGTGGGGACATAGGAACTTAGGAACAAGGGTCATAGGCATGGGGTAGAGACCACCTGTGGAGCCTGACCCCAGGGCTGAAAGCCCCCAATCACTCCCCGAGGGTGTGCGGTGACCCCTAGACCATCTCACTCTGGGTGCTTTTGACCCACCAGGCCAGCCCTTCCCCTTCAGACCCCAAGCAGGCACACCCCAAGGAAAGGGCTCACTCACTCACCTGCTCTGTGTCGGCGGGCAAGTTACTTAACCTCTCTGAGCCTCAGTTTCCTTGTCTATAAAATGGGAGCAATACTAACCCCTAACAGCTGGAGGAGAACTGATGGACTCACGCGTGCAGTGTGTGCAGCACAGGCCCAGCCCAGAATCCTCCATACCGATCAGCCGCCACCCCCGTTATTATTCAGTCACTCCCATCCTCTGCCCGCTCTGGGAGAGCCGTCCAGAGGGAGCGAGAGAATGGGACCAGGAGGAGGCTCAGGGAGAAGTCGCGTCTGCTCGTCCCTCGGGCCTGCGCCTGGGAGGAAAGCCCCTTCTTCCATCCACAAACCTTTATTCGGTGCCCTCTCCGTCACGGCGCCGGCGCTCAGACCTTGGTCAACAGTATTGACCAGGACAGGCATGCCGCCCCCCAGAAAAGCACTCAGGGCCCCTTTATTCCAGAGACCCCCCAGAAAAGAGTCCTAGGGCCCACTTGGCCATCAGAGAGCAGCGGCACAGAGCTGGGCTGTGGGTGCCGTCAGTAAAACCCTGTCTCGTCTTCTGTTTAGATTAAGTTAATAGAGACTGAGTTATTGCAGCTGACACAGCTGGAGTTAAAGAGGAAGGCCCTGGACACAGAGGCACTACAGGTACGTAGGGCTCCCTGGCCGCCCCGCCCCTCCCCGTCCCCCGATGGAGTCCCCCACCCAGTGCCCCCGCTGCCTCTCGGCGGTGACTCCCCAGCAGGCAGGACAGGTCTCCTCTGTGGCCGTGACGTAGGAGGGGGGCCCAATCCCAGAGGCTGCTGGGCGCACGGGCCACGGCGAGGGTCGGGTCAGCCTGTTGCCAGGCAGGAGGGTCAGAGGAAGGAAGGTTTCATTGCCGCGGCTCACCCAGGCGACATCTCCATCTCTGCGTTTTCTTTGTTTCGGAGCAGGGTTGCTGCTGAGCTCCCTGTCTCTTCAAGCCATGCTTCTGGGGCGCTGGTTCGGCTCGTGGGCTGACATCCTCTGGGGAGGGGGCTTTCCTGGTGTCCTAAAAGTGGAAGGAGAGGACCCAGCCATTACTGTGTCCCTCCCTCTGGGCAGCTTCTCTGGGAGCTCCGGGCGGGCGTCCTGCTCACCGAGAAGGGGCAGCAGGGACTAGCAGACAGCATTCTGGTCTGCAAGTCTGGGACCTGGGTCCTGTCCCCGCACAGTCTGGCCGTGTGACCTTGGCAGGGACGGGGAAAGGGGTGGCCTCCGTCCGCCCGACTGCACCACGCAGAGGGCCTGAGTCAGCGGCGTGCGAGGACTCGGCCCCCCCAGGGGTTCGAGCACAGCCTGCTGTTCTCAGGTCGTCTCGTGGGCTTCTCAGTGCCGGGAGGGAGCACTGCAGGCGGGCGCCCTGGTCCGGGGTCCGCCACAGATGCGCTGTGTGCCCTCGTGCAGTCACTGCCCCGCCTTGGGCCTCCGTTTTTCCCCTCCATAAAGGGGAAGTAACAATCCTCCAGGCCCAGCCTGGCCTGTCAGGGCCGGCCAAGAGAGGCGAGCTAGCAATCGGAAAGCCTAGTGTGGGCCTGGAAATGGCCCTTGGGGCGGGGGGGAGGGGGTGGGCTCAAAGCAGGTGCCCTCGTCTCTTGCCTGTTGGAGCTTGTGGGCTCCACTTTCCGGGCCTCCAGGGGTCCTCAAAGTCAGATGTAACGGAACACCGACACAGACGAGGGCTCTGCTGTGCCTGCCTGTGCACCTGCCTGTGCGGGGCCTTCCAGACCACTGCCGGTGACCAGCCCTCCCCGCCACTCGTGTCCCCCACGGGCTCTAGCCAAGGAGGAGCTCAGCCATGGCTTGTCATTTCCTCTGTTTGCTCTTTCTGACCACTCCACAGACATCCCATGCCCCGCCTCAGCCCCATGGGGAAGGGAGATGCAGGCTTAGGAGCGGGCGGGGAGGGGATGCCCAGGCAGAGGGACCCCGCGGCTCTGTCCCTTGCTTCTCAGCCTGAGACGGTGGGCAGAGCCTTGAACTGAGCTGGGCCCTCCACGGGCCCCCGGCTGGCAGCTGAGGAGTGAGTGACGGGGATCCTGCCGCGGAGCTGCTGGGACCTCTGGCGCGTGGGCCCCCAGCGGCACTGGGCGTGGTCTTGTGTTGCAGGAGATGATCTCGGAGCAGCGCTGGGCCCTCAGCTCCCTGCTGCAGCAGCTGCTGAAAGAGAAGGCGCAGCGAGAGGAAGAGCTCTGGGAGATCCTGGTGCGTCGGCGTCTGTGTGCGCGTCACGCGGGGCCTGCTTCCCCTCAAAGGGCCCGTACACACCCTGGGCGTTCCGATCACGGTTGTCCATCAGAGAAACCGGGAGCACACAGGAAGGGAACCTCACGCTGAGGGCTGGCCGGTGCTGGCGGCTTGGTGTCTGTTTTCCCAGCACTGCGGTGCCTGTTCCAGCTGCGCAGGCTCGTGCCTACAGCAGCGCCCAGCCCCGGCGACCAGCTCGTCGTCCTCCCCTCCCTTCGTGTCACTCACGTGCTCCTCGGCGTTCTTTCCCAGGCTGCACCGGGGTTGGGCACCGGGGTCCCGCCCAGTCAGCCACTGCTAAGCATCGAGTCCCCTTCCCACCCTTGACGTTTTAGGCACCGCCCTCTGACCGTCTTCGTAGCTAGGTGTTTGAGAACAGCTGAGCGTCTGCTCAGGGCAGGTGCCCAGGAGAGGACTTGCTGTGTCCAGTGCAGGCCCTGGAATAAGCCTCTGAGCGGGCTGCCCACTGGTACTCTGTTCCCAAAGGGGTTTGGCGCCAGCACATGGTCGGGGCGGCAGGGCCCCATTTAAGTGGCGGGCTGGGCCGTGTCCTGCAGACCCTGGGCACGCCTGGGCGGCGAGGACGGAGGCTGGCCAGCCCGCCAGCTGTGGCATCGCCACTGCCGCCCGTGGGCGGGCCCTGGGCAGGGCACGAGAAGACGAGGCCAGCTGCTACTCGGGCCCCAGTGCCCCCCCCCCCCCCGTCTGTGCTAATCAGAAGCTGCCCTCCCCTCGCAGTGCCTGGCTGCCGCCGTCTACAAACTGTAGCGATGCGGACACTGTGCAGGGCGGCCACAGGCTGTGTCTGTGTTCCTACCCTCAGGGACTCTCTGGGGAGAGGCACTGCCTCAGCAGAGCGTGAGTGTCAGGGTCATAGGTTCCAGAAGAGAGGTATGTCCACAGCCCAGGGAGGGCCACGTCCAGAAGAGGGGGCCCAGCTCGGCAAGGCCCAGGAGTGGCCACCAAGGGCACGGGGGCAGTGCCCGGGTTGGAGGCCCGCTGCCCCGCGCACCTGGCCCCAGGGTGCAGCTGCAGCCCGGGCTGGGCCGGCACAGGTGTTCAGAGAGCAGGCCCCAGACCCGGGGCTGGATCCCGGCCCCGGCCCGGGCAGCTCTCAGACCTTGAGCAGGCTGCTGACCACTCTGAACCTCGGGCTCTCCGCTCCTGCGGTCCAGCCTGTTTCACAGATACAAGAATTACGTGCGATGGCTCCTCTCGGCACAGCACGGGGCACAGCACAGGGCGGCGCACAGTGCTCTGCCTGCGTGAGCTGCTGCTAGGGTCACTCCTTCCCTGCTCTGTCCCCAGCGCCTAGCGCAGCGCCCAGCCCAGGACAGCGCTCGGGGAGTGTTGCTGAACGACGGAAGGAAGGAGTCCGCTTCCACAGGGTGTTTGTGATCCCCCAGCTTGGGCTGGGCAGGGCAGGGCAGGGCAGGGCAGGCCAGAAGCTGGAGGTGTCCTCAGGACCCTATTTCTGTCCCTGCCTGGCACCCAGAAGATCAGCCTGAGCTCTGTGGGAGGCGGCGGTAGCTGCTTAGTGCTTCGCTGTTCCCACAAGTGGACGAGGCGGTGTCCCTCCAGACCAGTGGTGCGCAAAGCGAGGTGCCAGGGGTCAGCAGCCCGGGTTCAGGCCCCCGCCAGGTGTGGTGCACCACCTGTGAGATCCGTCTCGGCACTGAGTGGGGCGCCGGCGGAGTGGCGCTCGCTGCCCTCCCTGCCTCTGTGGTGAAGCAATGCAGGTGTGTGGGGAGTCGTCGGGGAGGTGCCGAGCGCCACCCCGTGCTCAGGGGAGCAGAGCTCACGGCCATCACCGTCATCGTCGTTTTTGTTTGCCGATCTGTAACCAACAGCATCTGCTTCGTTCTTGGCAGACGGAGTTAGAAGCCAAAAGCGAAACCAAGCAGGAAAACTACTGGCTGATTCAGTATCAACGCCTCTTGAACCAGAAACCCTTGTCCTTGAAGCTGCAGGTAAGGACGGGTAGTGCCCGCCCCGCCGGGAGCCCCGCGGGCCTCCGTTCAGAGGGCCCCCTCTGCCGCAGGGGCACCCTGCCGGGTCCCGCGCGAGACCCCCGGCGGGACGGCAGTGGGAGAGGGGGAGGGCTCGCTCCGGTGAGGAGCAGATGGCCTGTGCCGCAGAGCCCGCGAGCCCACGTGGGCCGGGGCCCGCCATGCCCACCAGCGCAGGCAGGTGACAGCGCTGTCTCTGAGCACCTGCCGTGCGTCAGACGGATGTGTGACCCCCCCCCGTCTCCCTCCCTCTCCCCACACTTTTTTAAAAAGATTTTATTTATTTATTTTTAGAGAGGGAAGGGGGGGGAGAGAGAGAGAAACATCAGTGTGCGGTTGCTGGGGGCCGTGGCCTGCAACCCAGGCATGTGCCCTGACTGGGAATCGAACCTGTGATGCTTTGGTTCACAGCCCGTGCTCAATCCACTGAGCTACGCCAGCCAGGGCTGCACGCTTTTTTTAACCTTAAATAAAAATGGAGTCTTTCTATACACACTATTTGGCCACTTCTTTTTTACTCTGTAACAGTGGCAGGCGGATATCCAGGCCTACACAGGCACAGGTGCCCTCCCTGTCCCCAGACATCCGTGTAGTGGGCAGCACGCGGACGAACCCCCGCTTCTCTAAGCAGCCCCCCCCCGAGGGGCGCTCACGCTGCTCACTGACTTCGAGTGTGCAAACTCAGCGGCAGTGAACTTCCCGTACAGTTATCTCTTTGTGCACACACGTGCGTGTTTGTAGGAAAACTTCGGAGAGCGCATCTCTCCTCTCCTGTACGTGCAGACCCTCTGTTTGCCGCTGTCAGTAACGGCGTCTTCCTTTCCGCCCTGCCCGCGGGGCCCTGGGCTGTGCTCGTGCAGGAGGAAGGCATGGAGCGCCAGCTGGCGGCCCTGCTGGCGGAGCTGGCGGCCGAGCACTACCTGCCCATCTTTGCGCACCACCGCGTCTCGCTGGACACGCTGAGCCGGATGAGCCCCGGGGACCTGGCCAAGGTGGGCAGCACCCTCCTCTCGGGGGATTGGGGGGGCCCAGCCCGGCCAAGCACCGGCCCACCCTTCTCGCAGTTCCTACTGAGGCCGGCTCTCGGCCAGTGGCCTGGGGCCTCCTGGCTTCCGGGGGGCCCGCACACCTGCCCCGTCTGCCCCCACTGGCCAGGTGGGCCCCACGTGCCCGTGGCTGAGAAAATCCAGGGATGTGGGTCCCGCCGACCTGGACCCCCACCTGCTCGGATTGGGTCTTTGCGTTGACGGTCAGAGACAAGTCCGGGGCCGACCCCACCCGAGCCTGGTTGCGTTCAGGTGCGTTGCACTGACTCGCTTGTTCTTCAGAGGAGCCGCGTCACGATGAAAGGTCACGTCTTTGTAGCGCTCGCCAGTGCCGGGGCCGTCCGGGCACTTCTCGCACTCGGGCTCAGGGAATGCTGCCCACAGCCCGGCCAGCGGGCGGCGTCCTGTCAGCGTCTCCCGGGTGGGGAGGCAGACGCACGCTTGGGGTCGTTTGCCCGAGTCGCCCGGCAGAACCAGGCCTCACGCCAGGCGGTGTGGGGCCGGGGGCCGGGCGCTGACCGCTCTGCACACTGCGGGGCCCTGCGGGCTGTCCCTAGACGGGAGGGCTGCGTGGGAGCCAAGACGGCCGAGCCCAGGCCCTCGCACTCGGGTGATTTGCCGCTGCGGCCTCTCGGCAGCTGGGTCTCGTCCTCATGAGCTGTGACGGGGGCTCCTGGCACACTGGTCCTCGTGAGGGTGCCGTGAGGTCGCGCGGGTGAAGCTGTCGGCACGGTCCCTGGCCCAGGGGGAGCACCTGTTAGCTAAGGGGGACCTCAGCACGGTTGCCTTCCTTTTGGGCCTCAGTTTCCCCCTCCACCACACTGACCGGGAGCCCAGGCAGGCCGGGCCCCGGGCAGGCCTCCACGTTTCCAGCCGAAGGTGCCGGCGGCCAGAAACGAGGCAGCCCCCGTGGCCCTGGGCGGTGCGAACGGCTCCCGCCAGCCGGGCCACAGCCTGCTCTTCTCGGCCCCCTGCAGATGGGCGTCTCGGAGGCCGGCCTGCAGCGCGAGATCCCGCGCAGAGCCCAGGAGCTGCTGGATGCGGCCCGGACCCGGCCAGGTACCGGTACCAACGCCTCGTGGGTGGGTGGGCCGTGGGTGGGGGCGCTCCTCTGCTTGCCTCTCAGGTGGAGCGCTAAAAGCTGCTCTAGCCCCGCCCCGACCGGGCGGCTGCTCAGGGGGGTGGGCATCGTCCCACACAGCGAAAGGTCACTGGTTCGATTCCCGGCCAGGGCATGTGCCCGGGTTGTAGCCCAGAGCCCAGGTTGGGGGCATGCGAGAGGCAACCAGTCGATGCTTTTTTTCCCTCCCTTCCCTGTTCTCTAAAAAAAAAAAAGTAAAGTATTTTTTTTAAAAAGTGGATAGGAGTAAAGGCTGGTTCCAGCCCTGCCAGTCCTGAAAGTTCCTCCTAAAGGGACAGGACTCACCCATGAGGAAAACAGGCCACACGGAAGGAAGTTTCCTCGAAGCAGCTGGGGGCCCTCCTGGCTCCCGGTCCCGCGCCTTCCCCACACGCAGCCTGCAGACGCTGGAGCCACGCACCCAGGACCCTTGGGATCAAGGGGAAACCAGCTGTGCCCAGTGCCCAAGAGTGGGCCTGGGGCGTGTCTGCAGGAAGGTGTTCGGGACGGGCTGTGAAGGGCCAGGAAGGTGCCCCCCCCCCGCCCCCGTCGGAGGCCAGGGGAAGGCCGGTGCTGTGGCTGATGCAGGGGCTGGCGTGGGAAACAGGCCCCCTGTGTCCCGAGCAGGACCCGGTGCCAGGCACCTGCTGACCCTTTTGCGTGTACCATGTCCTGTCACCTCTGTTCCAACCCCATCGGGGGGGCAGTGGTGTCATCCCCGTTTGAGGGGTGAGGAAACCGAGGCAGAGAGAGGTTAGCGCATCTCTCGTAACACCCCAGAGCTGGCGAATGGCTGAACCATAGGCTCTGCTGCCCCCTTGAGAAGGGACCCAGGGGCCTTGACAAGGGGAAGGATGCCGGGACCCAGAAAAAGGATGAAGGAGAGGGCGGATGGCGGGGCTGGGCAAGCCCACGGGACAGCCAGCCTCAGGCAGGGCCTGTGAGGGGCAGAGGCTGCAGGGGGAGGCGGGAGCTCGGGCTGCCCCACTGGGTGGAGGCCCTGGGCCCCTGGGTGCCGGGGCTGGGGCAGCGCTGGGCCAGCTGCAGGCTCCAGCCTTCCAGCCAGTTGTACTCCAGGGACTGGCTCTATCCAAGAAAAACTCATTAAACTTCCAGTCCTTAAATACCAAGCACCGTGCAACATAGACACCTCCCAGATGTCTGTTCCCCCAGCTCTGACCCTGCTCTCGCTCTCGGAGTGGAGGTCAGAGGAGTTGGGTGTCAGGACTTGGTCACCCAGGCCCTGACAGACTAACCTCCCTCAGGCAGGAGTCGAAGGTGCCCTTTAACCCCAAGCCCCTGCAGCATCCAGAGCGGCTGCCTCTCGTCGTCTCCCTCGAACCTGGGGCTGGCGGGAGCGGGGCCCCCTCTCAGAATGTCCCCACTGTCCGTGTGGGGTGCCCCAGCTGCTTCGGGCTCCTTCCAGGTCACGCCCACCCCGCAGGGAAGTGGCTGTGGTGGGGGGGTTCCTTCTAAGCTCCAGAAGGGATGGGAAATCCTCGGGAATTCTCCCACTGGCTCTGCCACTGCTCCCAGGACCCAACCGGTGGTGCATTAAATAGAGGGGGGCTCTGTACCCGGTTGGTCTGGGGCCCCCTGACACCCTTGGAGTGTCAATCAAGTGTTGTGTAGCCTTTTTCAGATCTTCAGGGGCTTTTTCAATTATAAAGAATACTATCTGTAGTTCAAACCACAGATGGAATGGAACAGGCACTGAGGTCAGGGTGGGGGTCGGGGCTGAGGACACACTTGGGGCTGTCGGGGGGCTGTCGCGGGGTGGTGAGAGGGGCTGCCTTTTGTAAGGGCCCGTTCCGATGCCAGCTCCAGGGCTGGGTGCTGGCCCCAGGGCAGAGCAGTGGGCACGGGGTGGGGGGTGGGGGCCGGAGGGGGGCTCTGCCGGGGTGGGAGGGACCAGCCACAGGGACCTCCCCCTCCCCTTCCTGCCCCTCCGAGCCCTGATGGGCGGTGGCCAGCGGCGGAGAAGCTGAGAGGGGGGCCAGGTCCACCCCAGAGCTCCTGACCAGGGGCTCCTGCGCCGCGGCTCCGCCACCAGATGGCCCCGCAGCTCCGGGCAAGTGGCTTCCCCTCCCTGAGCTCCAATTCCTCATCTCCGAAAGCGGCAGAGCCCGGCTTGCAGGGCGGCTGCTGAGGACCCAGGGGATGTTCGGGTTCAGAGACCCCTCCCTGCCAGCGTCCCAGGGCGCCTGTCTTACAGGTGGGGACCGAGACTCAGGGAGGAGGGACACGAGGGTGCGTGGCAAGGCGGCCCGTCCCCCAATTCTGAGATCAGAGGGCCCCTCACCTCCCGGCGCACTGGCCACGTGGGGCAGCAGGACCTGGGCCATCCGCTAGGGTCTGGGACCACTGGGCGTGACCCTGGCTCAGGCTCTTTGGTCCCCACAGAGCTGCTGACACCACCCCAGGAAGAGGGCCTCGGGGCCCCGGAGCCCACTGCCCCTGAGGGGCCCCCCGAGCCGGTGAGGCCATCGGCACCCCCCGCAGAGCCAGAGGTGCCGCTGTCGGAGTGCGTCGTGTGCCTGGAGCGGGAGGTGAGTCCGCGGCCGTGCCTCACACCCCCTGCCCCCCCCCCCCGCGGCAGTCTTGCTCTGAGTGTGCTGTGTGCGCCAGGAGCTGCGGCCACTGCGGGAAATGACGGTGACCCCTGACCCCACGGGCCAAACACGAGCGATGCTGACGCCATTTTCTGGGCCTTCTCTTCAGAAGAGGGTTTTTCCCTACTTAACAAACACACTAAGGAAAACTTTCCAAGTTGTTCAATATCAACAATATATGTTCCTCTGAAAGAGGCTATTTTAAAACTATCTTTAAAAAAAAAGGACAACAAAATTCACCCTTACTGTAAAAACTGAACAACACAGCACACAAGATTAAAATCCACCCCTCCCTCCGCCACGCGGTCCCCTTAGAAAGGGCCAGCAGGGTACAGCGTCCGATGACCCCGAGGTCTTTACCAGCCCCAGGGCAGGCCTCACTCTTTGGCTATAAATTTAACCGAATTTCTGCGTGTGAGCCCCGTGGGCGGGCTTCCCATCCCGTGTTACCACAAACAGTGCTGTGCTGAGCGGCCTCGGACCCAACTGGGGGCATGGCCCTGGTGACGGCCGCTGCGTGATGCATCCCTAACACGGAGATGCGGCAGCAATGCAAGGGCGAGGCTCCTGAGCCGCGATGCGAGGGTTGCTTTACACCCAGGGGCTGGGCAAGGGCATCCAAAGCCACGCCGACTGGGAAGCCCGCGGGGCGGGGTCGAACCGTGAGGCCCTGCAGCCAGCGGCACTGCTGCTGCTGTCCCCCGCGGGGGCATGGGGACTGCCCAGGCGGGTGGCAGGCAGGGAAGGCCAGGAGTGAAACGTCGGGAATATAGTGCAGTTTTGTTTTAGAGACAAAGGGGCAGGGCCTGTGGGGATGGATGGAATTTTCACAGAACGAGGAGGAGTCGCGCCGAACTGCTGCCGGAAGGATGGAAGGACGGGCCGGGTTCTCGCCTGCCTGCGCAGCCTGTGGGCTGTGGCCCCGGAGCGGCCGAGTGGGCGGGGACGACCATCGGTGGCAGCGCCCAGACACTCCCGCTCTCTCCCCAGGCGCAGGTGATCTTCCTCAACTGTGGCCACGTCTGCTGCTGCCCGCAGTGCTGCCAGCCGCTGCGCACCTGCCCGCTGTGCCGCCAGGAGATCGCCCAGCGCCTCCGGATCTACCACCGCAGCTGAGCGCCGGCCTGGCCCCGGCCCGGCCCCGGCCCCAGCCCCACACCCCCCGCCACAGGCCCGGGGCTCCAGCGTGCCCCTGCTCTGCCCACACGAGTAAGGCCCCCTCTCGTCCTGGGCCCTGCCCCACAGCCTGGGAGGGTGCCCCCACCCTTGACCTCCAAGCACTGCTGGGCCGGGGCAGAACGTGCTCCTGACCGATGACCCGAGTCCTGTGACAGAAGAGTGGGGATCCCTCGTGGCACCCGGAAGGCTCTGGGCGTGGCGGTGCAGCTGTGCCGCCCTCGGAGCCACGGCTGGGGTCCTGGCCAGGGTGGCTTTGCCACCTCCCAGCGGACTGTGGGGGCCCCTGTCCCTGCAGGAGCCTCAGCCTCCTAACCGGGGGGACATAGACAGTGCTGTCCCAGCTGCGGGGAGGGGCGGCCACAGGCCACCACAGGCGTGCTCTGAGGTCCCCCAAGTGGCTGGAAGGTGCTCGGTGCAGACCTTGCACCGAGAGCAACAGCAGCCCCCCCTCACCCCCCTCGCTGCTGCCCCCACTGCTCTGGGCCCCTCTGCTCTCCAGCTCAGGGGCAGGTGATGAGCTTTGCAGACCCAAACCAGGAGCGTCCATGTCAATAAACCCCTCTCCAGCTGCTTCCTCAGAGTCATCACTGGGTCCTCGAGGAGCCTGGGGAGAGGGAGGGTCGAGGGCCCCGGTGGGGCCAGGAGGGGCCTGCACCTCGGTCAGAGGAGGGGAGGTGGAGACATTCCGGGACGGGGAGCTCCGCAAACCTACCCCCAGGGGTGGAGAGGCGGGGCCTGGGGAGAAGGGCAGGACAGCCCTCCGAGCAGGTCGTGCTGGGTCGGCCACCTGTGCGCTACGCCATTGTCACCCCTGACGAGTGAGCCCAGGCCGAGGGGGCTGGGCGCCCAGGATGGTGCCTCGGGGACGCGGCAGCGCTGAGTCTGGACCGCGGGGCTGTGCCGGCTGTCCCGGGAGCCGTGTGCCTTGCCCTTGCTGTAGGGTTGCACATTATTGTGCCTTTCCTGGCAGATGGTTTTGAGCCGAGGGCAGCTTGTTCTCTGGGCTAGAGGCAGGCCTGCTCGGGCGCGGGGCTCTGCCACTGGCTGTCTCCCACCGCCCCGGGCCAGCCATCCAGGCAATTTCCCCACCCATTCAACAGGGGGCATGAGGGAGCCCTGGCGTAGGCCGGTGGCCACCAGGAGGTGCTGAGTGCTCACCCTAGGTGCTGTGTCAGGAGCCCGCTGGATGCGAAGGACCGGCCCTGGGGGTGGCACAAAGAGCCCTGGGCCTCTTCCCGTGATGTCTTCTCCCCTGGGGACCTTTGATGGTCCCTTCCCCCCCACCGCCACCCTTTGGGACTCCTCTTGGCCAAGAGGGGAGACTGGGGCCTGAGGTGGGCGTTGGCCCTGGGGGAGAGCACGCCGGTGAGCACTGTCCGCAGGCGCGGAGCCCGAGGCAGAGTTAGTGACGTGCCCCCGACCACAGGCGAGTCCCGTCCTGGTCCCGTAGCCCCTGCTATTTCACACCCAGCCCTTGTCAACAAGCTCTCGGCCACTGGCCACCGTGGACGGGCCCATGCTAAGGAAGTCAGCACCTCCTCACGGTGCCTGGCCGCCATCCCACCCAGAGGGACTCGTTTGTACACACGGATGAGGCAACCCATCCCCACCAGTTCTGTGTGGGGTGGGGGTCCCTGTGCCCTCACCACCTCAGCCAAGGTTCCCCACCTTCTGGGGCCTCAGTTCACACGTCAGTGACTCGGTGACTGATGGCACCACACCAGCCGTGTGATCAGGTGTCGTGAAAACGTTGGCGTCGCTGGTCGGACCCAGCACGAGCCCAGGCCCACCCCTGCCGTGGGTGCCCTGGGGTCACGTGGCCCTGAGGCCATGGGAACCTCTCGGCCGGCCACCCGGGTCCCGGGGGAGTGCCCTGCACAGACCCAGCTGAGGGAGCCGCCTGGGCGGACCGCAGGCCAGTCGCCTACGTACTCTGCATCGCCTCTCGGAGCCTCAGTTTCCCCCTCTGTTCAGTGGGATCACAGAAGAACCCTGACCCAGAGGGGCCCGGTCAGCGAGCCCGGGAAGCCACGGTGCATGGACAGGCCTGCTAGACGCGGCCCCCGGCCCAGGCCCCCCACCAGCACCACACACAGGCCGTAGGCTTTAAATAAAGCATTTATTGATTAGTAGAGCTTAAACAATTTGCATAATATTTTTAATACAATATCTGGGGAGAATGACTGGAAAACCCCAAAAGGCACAAGAGGACAGCATCTCAAGACGGAATGTGTTGGTATCAGAGGTTGGTGAGGTGTCTGAGATTAGGGCTGGGGCGGACTGGGGGACCCTGAGCACCAGCCACTGCCTCACGTCCTGGGGGTCCGAGGCCCTGGCCCCAGGAAGCAGGTTAAAGGGATGGAGGGTGCAGGGCCGGGTGGGGGCCCTGCCAGAGGACCCGGGAAAGGGTCCCGCTCTGCCCTGCTAGCCTCCATTCAAAGCAGCAGCAGTGGGGCCTGGGGGCTGCCCCGGCTCAGCTGCCACCCCCAGGGACAAGAAGCAGAAGGAAGACAGTTGGGCCCCGATGACTCACATTTGAAAGGGGGCCTGGAATGTTCAGGGCGAGGTGACGCGGTGCATCAGGCAGCAGGGCCACACCACAGCCTGACCCCAAATCCTCGGAGCGGCGGCCCCTCAGGAGCCCTGCCGGCCCCCTCGGTGGACAGCACGTACCTTGGAGGTGGCCCACGGAAGACAAGAGTCCACACCTACCAAACCCACCCTCTGAGCAAAGTGCGTGTGGGCACCGAGGGACCCCCAAAGACAGGGCCCCGGCACCGAGCGGAAGGAGAGCGACCACTGCAGCTGGAGGTGGGGACACAGGCCTGAGGCCTGCCTGGCCTCCAGCGGTGCCCCCTCTGCCCTCCGGCCTTGGGCTCCCCTGCAACCCTTCCTCGCACTTCCTCGCCCCGACCAGCACATTCCAGGCCTTTGCATTCCAACCCCAGGCCTGCAGGCCCATCCCCCTTCCTGTGGCAGCCCTCCCCCCAGCAACCCCAGCCTGAAGACACCGTCCTTGCACCTCCCCTCCCCCGGGGTCGGGCGTGAGGCCTCCGGGCCCAGCCTGCACGAGCAGAAGATGGGCCCAGCACTCTGTGTTTCCAGTTCCAGCGAGCCCTTGGTGGCGACAGGGGAGGGAATTCATGGGCTCTGAGTCACGGCAGACGGTGCCTTTAACTCCCTCTGTGCAAGGATGGCAAGCCCCCGAGGGAAACAGGCCACAGGAGAACGGCAGGAAGGGAGGACCCGGAGACCCGGGACCCCCGGGCGCTCCCCAGCCCCTCAGCTACACTCAGCTCCCAGCACAAGCAGGAAAGCCAAGTTCACCCCACAAAAGAGAAGACGGAGCAACGAAGAATGACCGAACCCAATAAAGTGACTTCGGAAGGGCCCACCCCTGCCCGGCCCCAGAGGTGCCACGCCAGCCCCGCCCCGCCCTGCCCTGCCCGCACCGGAGGCGCAGACCCGCGCCTGCAGGGCGCCTCGGAGGGAGGGGCCCGTGTGCCTGGTCCAACAGAAGCTCGGGGGCGACCCGCCTAGAACTCAGTCTGCACCCCTGCGCTGTCCTCGGTGGTGGTGTGGATGCGGGGACAGCCACCGGGGCTGGACACCTGTTCCCCAGTCTCCTGGTCGTTGGGCTTGGGAGGCTCGAGGTCCACGGCCTTTCCAGGTGGGAGTTGCCGGAGCGGCGAGGCAGGCGGTGAGGGGGCCTGAGGGCGGGCCTCGGGCTGGGGGCTCTCCTGCACAGGGGCCCCGTTGAGCAGGGGAGCTGCCGGCGGGGGGCTCTCGGCCCGCAGATTCTGGGCCAGCAGGCCACGGAGCTCAGTGACACTGTCCACGGACGCGGGTGACACGGGCTCAGAGCCAACCTCCAAGGGTAGCCCGGCCTCCTCGTCCTGGACCACGGACACCACCTGCTTGGCACGCCGTCGCTTCTCTGAGATGGTGGCTGCCTCCGGGACTCGGGCGCCGGGGCTGCCGCTGTCCCCACTGCCACCGCCACCGTACTCCTCGCCCCAGTCGATGGGCGAGCCCTCGGCCAGCAGGTGCAGGTTGGGGTCGCTGTTGTGCAGGACCACGCTGTCTCGGTACAGGTTGTGCTTCCTCTGCACGGCGGCCTCCTTCACGGCTGCGGGGCCCAATGAGCAACTTCAGGACATTTGCCAGGGGGGGCCACAGCCGCCACCACACCCTTCACTGTCCCCAAATGCCAGCATTGCACCCTCCCCACCAGGCCTCCCCCGAGCCTGAGGGGACACTGTCACTGGGACATGACTTGGGCCAGGCCTCACTGCTAGGAAGGAGGAGCCGTGATCCTAGCCCAAGCCCAAGCTGGTCACCACCATGTCACCCTGTCACTCGTCTGACCCTCCCCAAAGTGCCAAGGACCCACAGAGGAACGAAGGCACAGAGACTCAGCCCCACTTCCCGTGGCCACACAGTTCACAGGAGCCCCCAAGGCCCAGAGGCATAAATCTCACGATTTTCTTTGCAGCTTCACTGACCGCACCAGAAAGACCTCTGGGCCGCCTCCTCCGCCCTCCCGGCCACACGAGTCCCTGCAGCAGCCAAGGCAGAGGGGGCGCCCCCCACCCAGCTCCGCACTGGCCCTCCCGGGGGGCGGGGGCCGGCACGCACCCTGCAGAATGTCCTTCATGACCGTCTGCAGCACCACCTCCTCGTACGTGTTCTCCACCAGGATAAACCTGGCAAAGTCCTCGAAGATCAGCTCCTGGAACCGGGGCAGCTCCTGCAGGGCGGGCGGGCACGGGGCAGAGAGGGGCGGTGAGGGCCTCGGGGCGAGAGGGCCCGCAGGCCCCCCCCGCCCCCGCCGGGGAGGGGGCGGGGCCGCTCACCGACTTGCAGGTGGGAGCCAGCTTCTTGAGCAGGAACGGGATCGTGATCTGCAGCAGCGCCTCCCGGAAGAAGCGCTTCCGCACGGAGCTGCTGTCGTAGTCGTACTTCTGCCAGGGAAGAGCGGAAGCGAGGGGCTCTGAGGCAGCGGCTCCACCGGCCCCCCGCAGGAGGGCGGAAGGCCAGGGGTCCGACCTGAGTCCCAGTGTCCCGATTTGCACAAGCGGGTGAGTGGCGCCTCCTGCAGGGGCAGCCGGCCTGGGGCCGGCCCGGGGACTGGGCTCGGGGCGGGGCCGCTCACTCACCTTCAGCACCCGCTCCAGGATCCGCTGGATGGACTTGCACAGCTCCTCCTTGGTGGGCCCCTTCCCCAGCTCCTGGTGCAGGAGGGTCTCGAAGGTGTACACGGCGTTGTCCATTTGCTGTGGGGCACACCGCGGGCACATGAAGGCCCCGGAGTGACCGCAGCCCCTTCCTCCACGCCTCTGAGGGGCTCGGCCAGCCGTCCCATGCCTGCCCAGGGTGGGGGGAGTGGGGGGCCTGTGCGCCCACTCGCTGTGCTCACGCCCTCACCTCGCTGGTGCCCGCTGTGTGCTGGCACAACGCCGGCACATGGACGTGACCGGCCCATGGGGGCCAGGCCCTGCCTCAAGGAACTAGGACACAGAGGCCCCGGGCCCTGCAGGAAGGGGCCTGGGGCGCAGAGAGGG